GTTTACGCTAATTATTTTAGGGACCCTGATGTCAAGTCAAAGTTTTATACTTGAAATGTGTCCCTCTTCCCCTGTCCTCTTCCATCTCTTAAGTGAAGACAATATAGCTGTGCTTAGAGATCAGCAATTCTTCATGATTGAGGCCACTGGGGCTGTATGCACGATTTCATTATCTGAAATTCATTTAGACCATTTTATGCAATTTCTACTGAATCATAGGATGTAAGCATCAATATCAGAGAAGCAGGGATGGGAAAAACCCCCAAAGAATACAAGCAATTATGTGTTAACATTAATAAAATCATTCACGCTCGTGTCTTACTGATGCCTTCACTGCTTTTCTTCCCACCCTCAGTCCCACAGCTGCACTTGGAACTAGCTACCCTAGCTCAAGATCACTAGTTCAGTTAGTACTTGCAAACATCTTTGCTTTTTGATCAAACACATTCCCAGAAGCCAAATGCAAATGAACCGTATGAAGAATTTTTAAATTGGAGCAATTATCTTGCTAAGCATTTCCTGAAAGTGTCAAATATTACAGCACTCTCAATTTAAACTACTTGTCACTTCTCAAACTAGCCTGAGCTGCATATCCACTTTCTAAATCAAGGAGCTTATTGCGGTTTAATTCAACGAATACCAAGGAATTTGCACCAAAGCTTATTTCAGACAAGTATTCTGATATCCTCAATAGAGCAAAAATGCATTGTAACCAGTAAAACATGTTTTGATTTTTTTCTTAGCAAGTGACCCAATTCGTACTTCATCTGTTTTGCAAGGGCAAGTCCATGTCGCTGTGTCAGCCAGGATTACAGGAGACATGTCCCTATTGGAAACATGCAGAGAAGCAAAATCCTTTGTGCTGTTACTGCAAGTTATAAAAAGCTTGCTTTCAGCATCTGTCAGAGAAGTACAAGGAGGCAGCATAACTAACCTGACACAAAAATCTCTCTTGTATAGGCCCTGCTAAAATACTCATGCCAACAGAAACTGTGATTCAGGCATGCTTTAATAGATAGAGCAGAACTGGATTTTGCAAAAGGATTTATTAATGTAACTCCATTTCACTTTCACATAGATGTAACTCCATTCTTAAGAGTGATGGTTTCTTAGGATGCTTGCTTTGCCATGGGTATGTCCATTCACCAGGAGACTGTGAAAACAGTCCTCCCATCCTGTATCCTTCCTATGTTCCAGAACTGTCTTTATCTCCATTGATAAATGCTCGAGAATATTGCATTAATGAAGTGCTTTCTCTGAGATTTAATGTATCGTAGTCAGCTGTTGCCACAGCTACAGTTTCTGCTCATAAACCTGTAAATCTCACTTAATTATGGCACATGGATGTAGGGAGCTGTTTATTTCTGGGCTGATGAAGTTCAGAAGGTCCATCATGCTCCAAAGCAGGAAGGTGGCTTCAGGAGATGAAAGCCCACTGGTTGGTGTCCTACGAGTGAGACTGCTCAGGAGCTATTTTTTTGTCACGGTTTATCTGTAAGCTGTGTTCCAATAGTGGCTCTGCACCGGTTGTGGGAGGCCTTTACAGAAAACAAACATGAACTTGTAGAGGCCTGGGTTTTTAGTTTAGAGAGGCTAGGGAAGACAGAACAGAAAGTGAAGAACTAGACAGCAAGAAGCAGCTAAGGAAAGATGGGAGGGCAGGAAGATGGAAATAATTTTTGTAGCAAAGACGTCAGTTTTGGTAGTGAGAGTGTGCAGTGTCTTGGCTGACACAAGCAAGATAATTCAGATGGTCGGACCCAACAGCAGTGTCAGTCTGTGCACACAGCCTGCCTTCCGCTGTCTTCTCTTTGGAAGGGCAAAACATAAGACAAATTTTAAAGCAAGACTCATGTGCAGGGTAATGACAGGAAATTCTGCCCTTTGAAAATCAATGAATATGCTAATTACATGATACATAAAAAAATGAGAAAATTTTTTAAAAAAAAACCAGACTCAACTAATGTGAATTTATTTATACAAAAATGATACATATCCACAGGAATATTTACAACAACTTTAAACTGTTTTCATTTACAAAATAAAGATTCTGTTGTTTCATTTAGACAGTACGATTTAGGACTGCTCCAAATAAAAGCCTATGTGGATGGTAAATACAAGGGACAGCAGTTATGGCAAACAAATGCATTGAATGTATATTTCCAAACATCTCTTTACATTATGATGCAATATACATGATTGAGTAACAAAGTTTCTGCACAGAAAAAATATTTAGTAAAATGTGTTCCATAGCTGCTCAGCTATCCATTTGTTTTAAGTCCTTTGGGCACAAAAAATAGTTTTAATTTAAAGAGAATTTAGGATCCTAGAATGTTTCATTTATCCAAGAGTAAAGATGCTAGAACCAATGTTCAATGCTAGTGTTTGTCTCATACTCTATTAACCAATCTTAAAGTAATTATTAACGATAGATTCTTGTAAGAAGAGGTAGCCAGGTGTTTATAAACTTCTGGTCTTGTTTTAGTGTTCAGTCAAATCAAGAAGTGAATACTTTACTTTTGATGGTAATAAATCAAAATGGGAGGTGAACTGGAGAAATGGGACCTTTGAAAAGCAGCCATCTGAAAATGTTCTGAAAATGCCTACGCTGTGGGTTCTTCAGATGACGCAAAGCGCTAGTGCTGGAGAAAAAGAAATATTTGAACATGCTTACAAAGACAATTTATTTCACATGGAATTGGACTAATATGTGTACAATTGTTCTTAAGGCTTTCTTCCAATCTATTTCTGTCACAAAAAGATTTTTTGATGGATCAGCTGCTTCTAGAAGTAGTCCTCTCTTTTCTACTGTACACTTTAAACTATTTTCTCACTCTGCACCAAATCCTTGAGAGGTAGTCTTACACCACACATGGGGCAGAACTTGAGCACCTTATTCAGGGTGTGTTTTGACTTTTATTGCTCTGGTTTGCAGCAGGGAGATCCAATATCAAACCACAGACTGAAATTGAATTAGCTTGCTCCTAGCCAAATTTTTGATTCATTTGCTGGTTTATGGCTTTCCATTTCAGTTGGTGTGCAGCCCCTATAAAAATACAAAGCAGCTCTTCCCTTTGAAAATATCAACTGGAAGAGCCCCATGACATCCGTGTTACACTGGTATCAGTTTTGTTTGGGATACAGTAAAAACCCTGACGAGACATGCTAATAGCTTACATGGCTTCAGTCAGCAGTTGGTTTTGAAAATTAAGTAAAAGCCCTTTTTATGTAACAAGAGAAAAATATTAATTTATCACGTTTGTATTAAAATAAAGGAGAGTAAGGGCTTTGATCAGACTCCCACTGCATTTCAAACACTATGGTGACATTTCTAGTGTTCAGGAGGGGAGCCAGATCTACAGCCTTAAGTCCCTGATTCAGAAAGGTACTCTACTGAAATACTCAAAGACAGTGAAGTTACTTGTATACTTAATATTAACAACTAGGCTTTCAAGCCTGCTACTCATTTAACAGAACCTCTGGAAAATCCAGCTTCTTCAGAGCTATGTTAGTATCTTAGACCCGATCTCGAGGTATTTGAGGGAATAAAAGAATTTTGGTTTGAATTTTCTTTTTTAGCCCTTCTACCATCTATTGGCCTATTCTACCATCTATTCTCTTTTCCTTTGTGAGGCCATAGACTAACTATTAATATGGATTCAAACTATTAAATATAAGTGAACTTCTCTAATTCTCTTACACCTACCTTGATTCAGAGGACTACTGAAAAGTGTCAGTAAAATTAACTGACTACATATGCATCACATTTGACATAAAAATGGCTTCCTTTCACATGTTTTCATAGTTCTAGTTCCATTTATGCTATTACAGTGTTAAAAAATATTCAAAAATTAAATAGAATAAATGCACCAGAATCATCAGTAAGTATTTCCTAATGAGGTATACTGACAATTTTCTTAAAGAAAAAAAAACCCTAAAACTGGATTGTTTTGTAAAGTGTCTAACAGAACAAATCGTAGTGTAAACAAAAGGTATTGCAAAGAATGGTATACATTTCAATGCTACCTGCACTAAAAAAAAAAAGCTGGGTTTTCTTGGTATTGCAATTCCAGTTTAAACACATTTAAATATACAATAGTTTAAAATTTTGGGAGGGCGGGGTACATACACTTGTTTAACGTTCTTTGAACAGCAGTTTATACCTTGTTTCATACTGCGTACAGAACTCATTGACAAAGTTTTGAAACAAGTAAGATATTGCGTCTTTTCCCTGTATATCAAAAATTCATGTTTTTACACTGCTTTAAATTACTACTGGAAACAGAAAAGAAATATATCCTGTAATTGTTTGAAGAAAACTCATTTAGTCTCTTTGGCATCTGTAGTACTGTAAAAGCTCTAGTGCCTTATCTCTGTACTTGCAAAGTCTGTTTTTAAATTATTTTTCCCTTTTTTTAAATAATTGAACTGTACTTTGCTTCTGTATCACAGATTTCAACTGCCATTCAAGGAAAGGAGCAGCAATATTACACAAAGGAGTTTACATAGCCAACAAAGATCCAAAACCTCTAAAATTCCTATTCTGATCTGTTCTTGCTAAATTGCAAAGTGAGCATCAGCAACTCAAGACCTATACACAAATCATATGGAACTGTACAATTGCAACAGATTTTTTTTGAGAGTTTTTTTTTTGTTTTTTTAAAAGCACAAACTTCAGGAATATATTGACCAGCCATCTGCCATTCTGAAACAGTGGGCACTTTGGACCTCACTGCAGACCTCACAAATAATTCTGACCATTAAAGTAAACATTGGAATTTAATAAATAACACATTTTGTATCAACACAGAAACACACACAATTCTTTTAAAAAAATATTACCTTACACTAAAAATGCAACAACTCCTAATTCTGACAAATATACAATTTTGTGTAGGTTGAGACGGCAGGATTCAGTTTCTTTGAACAGCTGCTGTACTCCGTTTTACCACCATCCTTGGACATTTTCCTTTAGGCTTGCAGATGCAATGTGGACACTGCTACAATATAGTGCCTTCTTGAAAAGCTTCTATCCACCTATTAGAAAATTAAATACTGTTAGGAAGTCACTGGTGAAAGTATAAAGCACACTGCTGTGGCTAGTGACAGATTCACACAAGAAGTAACATCTCACTTCATTACTTGCTGGTCTGTTAATGAAAATGCCAGAAATAGATCCCTGAGTCCAACTATACAAAGCTTGCTAGAGATGTATTAGGTATCAGTACAAGGCAAGATGATAGAAACTTTCTTCTGTACCTCTTCTGTAAAGTTTAATGCATAAAGAACAAGTGAAGCTGGGGAATCAAGTGGTCAAAAAGTAAGAAATGCTGAGGTTCTGCCAACTTTAGTAACACGGTGGCATAACTTTTAAAAAATCCCAACACTCCCTCTCTCATTTCACTGCAAATGTGATTTGGGATGAACTGGGACACTACAGTATCTGAGGCAAGCACCTGCATAGCCCACACCCTCTGCTTTTGCAGCTCATCCCAGGGTATTAGGGAGGGACTAGTGGAGCTGAATTAGGAAGCCACGGGGCGCGTGGGCTGGCATGGAGGAGCGGTGCCTTTGCAGCGTGACAGAACACACAGGAGGTGCTACTAGTGAATGCATATTAAAAGATAACCTGCACATCCATGAAAATACAAGTATATGTAAAGGTGGGGCAGGGGGGGAGGAGGAAATCCCAAACAGCTGATCCAAGGTCTCTCAAACTGGGAATTCAAAGTTCAGATTCAGATACTTTTAGTCCCTATAGCTGTGGTTGCTGTTCCTACTTAATTTTGAGGGTGATAAACATCCTCACCTTCTCAGGGATGCTGAAAAAGTTAAGGTTTCTGAAGCACTCCAGTGCTACACTGGCAAATACAGTATTAAATGGAATAATTCCATCCTCTGAGTGAGGGCTGAACTGTCAGCGTGTAAAGTTAAGGGGCCCACATACTGATCATTTTTTCACCTGAGTGAAAATCTTTCAAGAACTGAATGAGACAAAGAATGTAAAATTATCTTTATCGTGGAAATTTAAACCTGTATAAGTGTTCACAGGGTATCTGTTAGTCACAAATGTTGTGGTCATAGATGTTGAATCTTCCTTGCCTTGAATGTTTAACTTTGTAACTGTGTCCATGTTCTTTGATTTCAAGCTTAAATGTAAGTGCTCATGCCTGTCCGCACACACAGCTCAAACTTAAAGCCCTTACTTTTCAGGGCTCACTGTTTTCCACTGCCATATATTCATTAAAAATAACAAGTGAAATACAAACACAACACGTTCATAGACAGCCTAAGCATTGAACATAGTACCAGAATAAGAAATTTAAAACCTCATCAAAAAGTAAACGCCTGTTAACATTTATTACAGCACTTACACAAATACAGCACATATTTGGCCCTAACATGAAAAATAGTGCCCACTGATGCAAACAGGCCAACAGCATGTTCTTTGCTTTTGCTTTTAATTAGTTGTCAAAGTAGCATTTATTCTGGAAGTTCAGCATAAATTTCCTAAGGATGTTGAATACTTGGAGAAAGCTTGCAATTTAAGGTACTTAATGTTATTCCTAGTCTCAGTAAAACAGTGTGTCCAATTTCAAGTTTTCCTACTGATGACAAAAGTGATTGAATAGGAAAACAAAGCTATTGAATGCCTTGGATTTTTTTTAGTTTTGTTTTATATAGTACAAATGAGGACACAGTGGAAACAAAAGAATAGTATTTTAATTAACAAGGAAACATTTGTGTGCATTTGCAAAACAAAATACTCCCCAAAATCAAATTAAGACTTCTAGATTTTGTGCATAGGGAAGTGTCACTGAGCACGTTCTCAGCTGTTCAAAATTTTCAGTTGTCCTGGATTCTTTGGGGTTTTTTAGAATATCCCTATTTGCACAAAAGCATACCTGCTTAAGTATTAATAATGCTTAAGTATTAATAATGGAATAGTTAGTGCATGAAATCTATTTTATTAATGCAAAATTCCTTTGGAAAAACTGCAGCGAAACCAATCAGATAAGCTAGGCGTATAGGCAAGATAACTTAAACCTACTGCAACTCCATGCTCATTTCTAGTTTACTCCATGATTCATAACAAGTGTTTTCTACTGATAAATGACCAGCTTCTAGGTTATTTTATATAAAACACACATAATACATCAACTGATAAATGTGACTCCAAACTCAGACACATCAGCAGGACTTGAAATGAAACAGGCTTGTGTGAATGCTCTTTGAATTCAAGCTTTTGGTCTGACCATATTAAGTGTGCCTATGTGCTCATGCTCATGTGCACACACACTTCAAACTTCTGTCCCTTACTTTTTAGGGTTTGCTTTATTTTTCACTACCATATATTCATTTAAAATCCTTAAAATTTACAGCTGGAAGTAAAAAAATGACACTTCAGTTAATTCTTAAAAGACATTTCCTGGATTTCTCCAAAGGTAACATTCAATTTTCCCTTGAACAGAGGAGGGATAGAGGAATGGGCTATCTTGTTTTATCTAAGTCTTTTCCATTCCCCTATATTTATTCTTTTGCAAAGGACAGTCTGCTTCTTCATTTAAAGCATTTCAGAAGTCCTAATGAAACCAGGACTGTGTTTGAGTAATCGAAAAGTTTTATTTACGTGTTAAATAATATGCATCTTTTGTCCATATGCTTAATCTGTGAATATTAACATTCATGACTTCTGAAACATTTCCTAGAAAAGAAGTACTAAAAATAAATTCAAATAGTTTCTTACTTTTGAGCTGAATGGGGATCATCTGCTTTGAATATGTAAAATAAAGTGTTTTTGTGCAGTAAATGGAACACTCTAGACTCTGAGTTTTCATCTTTTACTTCACTGACTGTGAATCCAAGTAAAGGCTGGCTCTCTAATGCTGCCACATCCTATTTTACAGGGGAAAAAGCAAACAAGACAAAATTAGAGCTTGTACGACATACTAAAGAATGCATTCAGACTTTACTCATGCACCATACTGTTGCAACAGATTATATAACAAAGAAGTTATTACAAATAGTCATGCACAAAATGCTGCTTTTTATAGTCTCCATGGATGAATCAGGGGATAGGAAATAACGAAACCTCATGGACTTCAACGTCGCTGTTCCTCTTTTTATTTCCCTGATAACATCTGCCTTTCACTGTATAGTCTTGTTGTTCTGCCTCGTAAGGACTTCTTGAATCAAAAGCCTTACTGCCACCTGGCAGTGGACCAAAGGTCCATCGAGCCCAGTGCTCTCTCCAACAGCCTCCGTGAGTTTGCCTGTCTCGGAAGGGACATGAGATGCTCTCAGCTGCAGTGAGCATGGGAAAAGCAGCAGCTATGGATGTAACCTCTACTCTGAAGCACTGGAGTCAAACACCAAGTATTTTTGATGGCTTAAATTTATTTCGCTTTCCATTGCTGAAAATTAACAGGATGGGGGAAAAAAAAGGTTGCTGAGTGTTCACAAGTGCTTGACTAGGAAAGAGTAGCAAGAGGAGCTATACCTTTGTACCTTTTCATTTAATTTCAAAACCTGGCTGAAAAGGCAACCTTTCCCCTTCCTCGTTCGTCTCAATTGCTTCCTTTTTTAATGCTAGTCTTCTAATAAATAAATACGATGCACAGCATTTTTGGGAAAAAAAAAAAGAAGTATTTTTGTTCTGTGAAAATTCCAAAACAGTGTTTTGTAACTAGGCAGGGTCCTGCACTGCTTGTGAATAGAAAAAATAAGCAAAGAATGTACCTAAACAGTGACATAATGAATGAACATAAACATCAGGTGAAGATTTTGGTAATTGCCTCTACACTGAAACAAAAGTATCCTGTGAAAGCAGTATTTCTTGATATTGGAAAACAGTCAAGTGAGGCTTAGCAATCTGTTTTACGATCTTAGGTCTTTGTACCACCAAGAAGTGGTCTTTTTACCACTAATCTTTATATCCCTTGGACCTGATGTAAGTACCTTAAGTGGGGTTTCCTGCCCAAGGCCACACTCGACCTTCCCTTGAGACTCTCTACACAATGTCTCCCACAATGGCTCATCAAGATGAAAAGTAAGGACAAATATTCCTTAGTTTAAATGAAATAGGCATCTCAGGTTCTGGACATAATTCAGAAGTTCTAAAATAAAGGTTGGCACTACAACAGGAACAACCCAGGAACAAATCTGAGCACAAATCAGAGTGGGGGTGGTGTAAGGGTGAAGATACGGTCAGGATAGGTTGAGCCTTACATTTTGAAAGGAAGTGAGGGATAGCAATAACTTTAAACAGATGCTTTGGATATTCTGCTCTTGGAAGCTATTAGAAAACTATAACACTCAATACAACAAAGCAAAACCCAAGGTCTTCCAGTGCTAAAATACATCCATGTATGATGCAAAACATTATAAGATGCAATAAAACTACATCCTCAGCACATGCTGGGATGTGCAAAGCTTATATATATGTATTGGTTAAAGACTATTCCACACTGCAGTAGGACTACATATTCTAAATAAAAAAAAGCAAAATGCCATTAAGATGCATTTCTTTTTTTTTCTACTGAAGCATTGTACATTAAATAACAACTCCACAGTTTGAGGAGAAGAGACTTAGTTTGCTCATTTTCCAAGCATTCACAATACCTTACGGAACTGCAGAACAAGATACTTCAAGATGCTTTTATAATGTGGCTTTGCCACTAGTCCAGCGTGGTGCATCCCAACAAACCCCCAGGTGTGCAACTGACTCAGAACATACCCACAACTGTGCAATGGTGTGCAGTGCAGGGGTACTCAAAGCTAGGTCTGGAATCAGAAACAGCGTAGCTCTATCAGCATTTTATGGTACCAAGCTCACTAGGCCTCTTCAAAATACTACGTCACAATCAGATCAATTACTGTAAGGTGATCTAATTTGATAACTTGTTTCTAGATCATAAAAATAAACAACTTTGTTACAAAGACAGTATTATCATTGGATATTTAATTTCTAATGTGTAATCTCTTACCTCACTAGCAGCATATGTGTATAGCACCTTATTTTTTATAACAAACCATAGGTGTTTCCATGGTTTCTTACTGCCCTTAGATCTGTGTAGGTAGCCACTCATTGTAGAGTCTTCTGTATTTGCTGAAACCTGAAGAGAAAAAAAACCCCATGACACAACAAACCCCAAGAGTATGTAGGCATCTGTCCAAGTCTTCACAGTACAGCTTTTTTAAAGGGAGATATCCAGAGCCCTGTCCTGTCAAAGACTCAAGTTCTTACCTGCTCTAAAGTTAATATTGCTACTTAACTCAGAGGGCTGATAGAAAAACTATTTTGTCTACCACCATCTATCTGATCTGGAAGAGAGGTTTCTGCAGTCACTAATGGTTGGAACTTAAAGTGGATGCAACAGGACAAGAGAGGGCTGGAATGCTGAGGCCCATGTACAGCTGGAGAACACATGTTCCTATACAAAAAACCAAATTACTTTCTCCCATTCCCTAGACCTCTAGCACAGTAGGCAGAGTTCAGCTCTACTTTTCCTAATCATAAGACAAGAGCTCAGCTGGTGTAGAAGTCTTCTCATTGACTGTTGGTCCTTCAAACACAGGGAAGCAAGAAAGAAATGATAATTCTGACTCTGAATCACAGTCTGAGTGAGGTGTTTATGCAGTTTTTGCACTGCTTCGTAGTTCAGGTTCCTGCCTACACAAAACTAAGGCTCAAACCATTGTTACAGGCAAATTTTGACTTTTGATTTTAGAAGATGGCTAAAGTATGGAGTTATTTTTTTCTTGTTAATATTGATGATATAATACCAGCAGGACATTACTCTTGATCAACAAAGCACTTACTTCTTTGAGGGCTGCAGGAATTTTCTTCTGCTTTCGTCCAGAAGGAATACTATGTAATACTGTAGACAAGGCACTTGATGGAGATTTATGGTTGACTGGTGATCCGCTCTTAGGAGCACACTGGTTATCTAAAATGCACAGGATGAATATATTGCTTTCATGTCACAGATGACTAAACACAGGCAATGATTTTTGACCTTTTTTTCTTAAAGAGAGGTGACATTTTCATTCTGATTACAGTGTTTCAGTAGTAATACCTAGTCACATTAAATTCATTGCTGAATTATTTTTTCAGTATTATCTTCAACAGCATGAGATAGAAAACCCCAAATCACAATCAGACAAATAAACCAAAAGAAATTTAAAACTAAATGGCTTGTTTTGTTTGTTTTCAAAGCCTGTTTTCTGGATGTTGAACTACCTCTGCCTGTAAGCAGGGTGAAAATGAAGTCTTAAAAACCACACTGGATTTTTTAGAGCTCTAAACTGCTCAGCACTGTTTTACAGCCCAGCCTGGAACGAGTAGCTTTATCGAGCCTAATTCTAGAGCTGTCCCTGAACATGGTGAGGCTCCGAAATAATGAGCAGAGCAGGAGAGTAACGGGACTGCCGGCTGCATTCCACCTGCTCTGCAGCTCCTTTCCCAGCTGAAGGCACCTGCAGTCGCCGGCAGCACAGCAGCCTCTAGTGCCCAACGCAGAGGCCTGCAGGTGGTCCAGACAATCATCACCCTTCCCCATCACGGCAGGCTCTCACCACCACTTCAAGGGTTGTCGATGCTGCTTTCCACATCTCCATGAGAAATGTCACCCCCAGAACGCTGGGAGCTGCAGCTTGATTATTTCGCTGCGGCGTCACAGATTTCCCAACATCCTGGACAGCTCGTGTCAAACTGGAGCCTCTGCCAGAGGGAATCTGCTTATGGTGCGCGCGCATGTTTCACACTAGAGTCTTTGGACAGAATTCAGAGCAAGTCTTGCAAGATGGGACTGGATTCCCAGCTCGCTGGGAGGTGCCTCCATTGACTTTACATTTGTTTCTGCACAACGATATGAAGTTTCTTCAAAGAGACGGATTTGAGTTCTCTCAGGATGAGGGAAACTGTCCCTGGATCTCCTCTCAGGATGAGGGATCTCCTCTCTAAGCAAATGTTATTACCACCAGGCTATCTAACCCTTGCCTTCCAGCAGGCATCGGTAATATCACGGTCTCTGAAAGCATTTCAATGAAAATAGCTGTGGTGTTGTACATTGAAATCCACGTTGCCAGTGTGAAGTAGGCAGTGGCTAGGAGTTTGCCTTCAGAACTGAGGTGCAGATATGCCAACTTCTTGAGTGCCATATGAGCTGAAGCTTGATGCTGAAAAGACTCAGCTTGAGTAAGATGAAGGCCTATGTCTTTGCAGAGCCCCAGAACTCCAGCTATCTCGTGCTGCTACTGGTCATTACTGCAGGGCAAAGGCATGCGTGTTTCTGGAAGGAAGAGCCAACATACTGCAAATTCACATCCTAGCTTACTCCACAGAAACTTGTTTGGCTTCTTAGGAACCCCAAGATCGCTATTACTTTTCAGGCACTAGCAGAATTAGGCACTTGAAACCAGTAGTAAAGATGACGTGGAGACACACCATATTAATAAAGGCTACTAAAATAAGACAGTTTGTGAAGAATTTTTTTACCTTGTTTCTGTAGCTCCCTGAAGCAATGATCACATACTCTTGCTGGCTGGTTTTTCATATAGTCTAAACCATGTTTATTTGATGAACAAGCTTGACAGACAATCTAGAAGCAGATAAAAACATTATCATACATGATGTGCACCTGTAAATCACCAAATGCTCAATGATGTTCACTTCAGCACTAAGTACATAACAGAACCTGAAAAAGGCACTATTTTACACTGAAAATGGTGTAAGATCTTGGTTTTTTCCCTATGTCTTTATGTTCAACATGCTCTTCTTTCTTCTTCTAAATGATAAAAATTTAGATAGAAAAAAATCATTGAATTACACACAATTGCACAAAAATTAATAAGCCAACGTTAGCAATCCATGAAAAGCAGAATAAGCCTACTGAGTTACTGTTTAAATTGTAAGCTTTTAAAGAAATAACTAAAAACAGTGATTGCTCTCTTGATAATTTTTCCACAACACAGATGTCTTCATTACATTGAATTCTGTACTCTCACTTGATTAAGCCAAGAAAAATAAAGGCTTATTAGATATACTTTTCATAAGTGTTAAATATAAAATAAGCTTGGTACTAACTTCAAAACAAAATCATTATCTTATGAAAATCAATGAGAAAGATATTTTTCTCCCTTCAGCTAACATTCTTTGTCTGTACTAGGTAATTGCAGAAGTAGAAGACAATCATAAATGGGATTCCAAAATGCAAAATAAGAAGCATGTAACAGGTTAAAGGGCTGAACACCAGTCTGTCATAACATCTTACCCTAAAACAAACAAAAAACCCCCACTCCAGCATGTTGGTTTTGACCCATATAATTGCATCATAGCACAGTGTTCCCTTAAAGCTGTGGTGTGATCAGGCTCCACCTGCATTTGTCGCACAAGGAACCCGAATGACTAACAGAACAGGTCATCACAAAATTGCCCAACCTTTCCGCATGCCCTGCAGTGATGCCTTCTCCATGTCAACGTGAACTCACTGGTGCAGATCATACACATAGTGGCTCTGGTGTCGGGGATCCAGATGGGAGCCTTTGATCCCAGTGGACTATCTTCTTCTTGCTTCTCTGGATCTGCCTGAGAGAACATAGGCAGAATACCAGTACACTCCAGTGACGAGAAATAAGATCAATATTTATCAGTGGTTACAGGTTAACTCTAATTACATTGGAAAGCTTTCTTTGATAAATTGTCATGGTCTTAAATGTTATCTGCTATTTCATCAGTGCCCATTATAATGCAAGCCTGAAGACAGAGCTGCATTTAATTAGTTCACAAAGGCTGTGTGATTTTAAGCTTTACCAGCCTATTTATACGAATAGCTGCTATATTTTAAAATCTTTTTATTTCATCTTTCTGTTTGCAAGATTACTGTGAAAACTGAGAAATCTGGGGTTTTTTTTGAACAAAATATTTATGAAGTAGATAACATTATGAAATATCATTCTGTTCTATCATCTGTTCACTTACTTATTTATCATCCTGTTTTATTATTCATCATGGAATGCCTTTTGTTTCTCTAAACATCTGGAAAGACACTTTATATTAAAAAAGGGAACAAACCAACAATAATGGTGAGATATACCTCTTCAAGACTTTTGCTAGGATTAAATGTGATTCTCTTTTTTGTATATTCTTCAATTGACTTGGAGATAGCTTCTAACCACTCATCTCTTTCTGTAGCAGAGCTGTTGGAGTAAAAGAAAAAATCAAATTATTAACATTTAAAACTAAGAAGCAAGTGTCGATTACCATTCCATTAGCTTTACTACATGTTGACTTAACTCTTGCAATATCAGTTTAATAGACCAGTTCCTACTGAAACTGGCATTATTTTTTTAACTGTCTACATAGTGTCAGTTATTTGTGTTGATCAGTACTAAAAAAAGATTTCTCTGCCTGCTGTTATAATGTGGATTCCCTCCCTCCCTGTCCTCCTTCCACAACACTCTGCGACTGTTTCAAGGCCTTTATGTTATCCCTTCCCCCTCCTCCCCGGACCCCTGAATGGCTTGAAGAACACTGGTATAAATGGTGCTCCCAGAACAAAGACATGGGCCCTCCCTCTCCAGAGGGACTCTGAGATTTCAGCAAGCCTTGCCTCCACTCCCCCTTCCTTCTGTCTCAGGGTGCAGCTTGTCCTACCCAACCCTGTGAAATGCCAAGCTTCTGTTAGCAGAAAACACCATCTCTTCTCCAGCCTTGTGCTCCTACCGCGTCATGCTGCTTTCAAATAATTTTTTTAATTTTTTTTCCCCATTTTTTTTCCCTGGATTAGCTAACCTGAAGTGATAAACAGATAAGCTTATTGTGTCTCTCTGTGCCACAGCTGGTGGATCACTAATCAAGTGCAAGGAAAGCTGAAGTGGCACGGAGTGGGAAGAACAAGGGGTGCCTGCTGCAGCAGGAGCCTGCAGCTACACAGGATTACGTGCAATGCCAAAGCATCTTCGCAGGCCGTCGGCACATCACCACCTTCACAGAATATAAATTCATTACGTTGCTGCTGAAAAAGGCAGCCCACTATACTCCCTCTCAGTCTTATTTTCTCCCTTGTGCCAGAACACACACGGTTAGGCAGAGGGCTCTAAGTGCATTGGGCTGGACTGAGAAACAAATTTGTATTAAAGCAAGCCATGGACCTGCCCCTCCTCTGGGTCACTTTCCTGACTGGGTTCATCACGCAGCTGAACAACTACTTGTGCCAGCATCATGGAGGGTGCTCTGAGGAAGCAAGAAGCAGTTTTGTGGTAGAGGAACAACTAGATGCCATGCTAGGCTTAAAAAGAGTTTCTAAAATTTAAACCAGTATCTACTACCAACATTTTTTTTTACTCCTCACTTCTTAAATAGTATCACATAAACTAATTTGTTTCCACTGAATGTGGAAAGTCAGGGAAGAGGAACACAATGATTTACACAAATTAGGTATGCAACACTAATTATTGTTGAATGGCTTTTGCAGGAAAATTTGGAAGCTTTGATCACCTTTGAACCATTAGGGAAACTACTTTGAGCCAGGTTTTTGGACTGGATGAAATTACGCACTATACAGAATCACCAATGTGGTAATGTAAACACGAGGGAAGCCTGTGAGGCACCAGGTGAAAAAACCAATCTAGCACATGCAGCAACAAAACCAGAACAAAAGGAGAGGAACTAAGATACAAGCAACGGCAAAGCAATGTCTTATTGTCTGTCCCAATATCTCACACTCCGAGGGGAACCTTTTGTTCAGTTTTTTTACCTTTGCTTCCTCATGTGGAAAGAACAACTGATCTGCATTAGCTACATAACATTCATAACTCTAATAGACTCCTTTGGCTTTTTCAAAATCTGGTTACCTACAATAAGGTTCCTATAACTGTATTAAATAACTAAATTTAAAGTTGTCCCACTTTTTGGAGATTAAGCATCCCCTGATCACATGGGGATTGCTACATATGAGGGTGCTTGCACAACGAGCTACAGGGTTTACGCCCTAATGTTTCAGGAGCTCCCACTTGGTAGGTTTGCGAGCTCTAGCCTTTAGGGTTGTTTACAGTCCTTCAGAATTTAAGAGCAAAGGCAGTGCAGTGCCATCGGCAACTGAATTGATGTAATGGTCTGCTGCAGTAAAACAGGCAGTGTTTCTTCTGCTGTCACTCTCAGCCCTCCCCCACAGCTGCACAGTTCTACACAGCCCTCCCCTCCCTGCAAGTCCAGTGGTTGTTGCAGCTTTACTAAAAATGCATCGTGTTCTTGGTTTTTTTCTTTTTTTGTATTATATTTATTTCTTTATTTAAGATTTAACAAAACAGTACAAAGCTTTAAATGGACAGCAGAGAGCCCCAGCAATTGTTATGACTGTTATGTTCTGGGGGCTGCCCAATGGAGCTAAGCAGTTAGGTGGTCCCAGGAGGGCTCACAGAAATATATCCTTCTTGTTTCCAGGATCAGAGCCTCAGAGCACCTCTCCTAGCTGAAATATCCTTATGTTAGGGGAGGAGATGCAGCTCTCTGTCTGCCTTGGGTAGCTCCTCGCCAGCTTTATTGAAGGGGATGGGGCCAGCTGGCCTCAGACCACATCAGGCTGGCACGACTGTTGTTTTGAGGACCAAAGCTTTACTTCTGTATTCTGCAGATGCGCCAACTTGTTTCTCTGATTAAGAGATTTCTAGTACAATACTGCATTGTACCATGTAAAACAATACACATTCCTACAGATATCCCAGGAAAACTGAAACCTTGACCCAGACTAGATAAAGCAGAGTACTAATGCGGCCAGTAAAATAATCCCAAAGTGACAAAGACTCTTGTCTAGGCTTTAATCTATTCTTCTGTTATTAACTGGCTTATGTTTTATTACTAGCAACTTTTTACCAGCTTAACTGTTTCCTTCCCTGTCTCCTCAGGAGACATTTCAGAATTTCTTTGGTGTGCACTCCACAAAATGTTTATTGTTTGAAAAAAACCCACAGAAGCGAATTTTTTCTCCAATGTCTACAAGATTAATGCGAACAGTTTTGTAGTTGAGATTCTTCACCACCTATGTCCTGCTTTCAACTTGGATAGACTTAATTTTCTCCCTGGTAACTAGTATAGTGCTGTGGTTTGGATTCAGTATGAGAATGATGTTGATAACACACTGACTTTTTAGTTGTTGCTAAGCAGTGCTTACATCAAGTCAAGGATTTTTCAGCTCCTCATGTTCTGCCAGTGAGAAGGCTGAAGGGGCACAAGAACTTGTGAGGGAACATAGGCAGGACAGCTGACCCAAACTGGCCAAAGGAATATTCCATACCTTATGACATCATGCCCAGTATTTAAACTGGGGGCAGCTGGCCAGGAGGTGTCAATTACTGCTTGGGGACTGGCTGAGCATCAGTCAAGTGGGGTGGTGAGCAATTGCATTGTGCATCACTTGTCTTAGGGATTTTTTTTCCACTCCCTTTTTGTTATCTTCCTTTTCATTACTATTATTATTATTATTACTGTTTTCATTATTGTTATATTTTCTTTTTATTACCATTACTAAACTGTTTTTATCTCAGTCCGTGAGTTTTACTTGCTTTTGATCTCCCTTCCATCCCATGGGGGGAAGGGGAAGAGTGAGTGAGCAGCTGCATGGTGCTCAGTTGTTGGCTGGCGTTAAAAGATGACGACATAGGAGCCAAGAAGCTGTTAGAACAAGGTATCATCACAAATAAGATGCGGTCTGTATCAACTAGATACTGATTCTCTTCACATCCAGGATATTTATTGTTAGGAACAACATAATTCATTGGGAAACAATTACATACAGGAACCCATTTGTTGATAGCTTTTCACTTGTTTCCCTCCTATACCACAGACCCAGGACTCCCTTACAAGACAGACGACAATCTGAAAAGCCTCATTTACACCTGGGGCTCCCAGCACCTCCTTCACCCCAAGCAAATGCAACCTTTCTCTGTCACTGTTGTGTAACTGAGGGCTCTTGCACACACATAGCTTCCAGGAAGCATAAAAATAACACAGCTGAACGCTCTCCAAAGATGCAAGACAACGCTAAAAAAGAAGAAGTAAATCAGGGCCACTTCAGCTGGTAACATGAGGATATTTCCAGTAATTTCAAGGTCCAGACAAAAGCACATCACAAATTCTGCCCAATTTGATGAGAACATTATGTATAGCGGTTTTCCTCTATGAACCAGCATGTATTTCACAGGAGTTGCTTTATGTGTTGTTTAATCAGTTCCTCAAAAAGACAATTCTGTCCTGTTTTGTGGAAAATAGGTAGGTTGTATTGCAAGATGATAATCTTTGCACAAGTTCTGAAGATTTTTTAAAATGACTGAATTAAATGTGAAATGCTGTTTTAAGTCAAGCAGAGAGAAATCCACATTGCCTACTGCAATCCCAAAAGTGTCTTCCTGTATCTGTATAACACCCAGTCTACATGGCATCTAAGCAGTACGAATTTGCTTATGGTATACTGGAGCAGAATCATACCCTAAACTCTGAACTGTCTTTTTTTTTTTTCCCCAAGAACTATAAGAAACATTTAAATTTCTGGAAGAAAATATATACTTTTTTCAAGTCTGTTATAAATAACTACTGCTCAGATAATTGAGCTACTTCCTTTGGCTACTTTGACAAGGTTAACCTTGGTCTACCCCTCAACTAGAGATGCGTTGTCTTTGTGCAGACATCCTCATGTTAGTATTTATGAGGTCACACAAAAAGAAGCACTCTGCCCTTGCTCAGCTTTGCTAAACAAAAGAGAAAACATGTCTGTCTTCATTGGTATCAGCACTGTCACAAATGTCAGAACATATAAAACTCCAGCTCACACATAGTAAAAACAACAATCCACAAAACTGGGTCTTTGCTAAAGGCATCTCAGTGACAGCAGACTAGAGTTGCTCTGGTTTAGGGGCCATATATCCTTTTGCTGCTATATGAAGAATTTGGTTTTCTGGTAGAGACAAACACCATCCCAGTAATTGCTGCAATTTCCAGAATTTCAGGTTCACTGAGAGACATTTCTTGTTTCAATTACAATGTTATTTTAGCTACAAGACCAGGATGATTTCTTCCAATTTATATCAGTTATCAATAATAATATCAGAATTTATTGTCATGCTTCATATCCTGTCCTATTAAAGCACTGACAGAGTCTATCAGTAACTTTAGAAGAACAAAAAGGTAGTGAAAAGCAAGACCTACAATTACTTGAAATGAAACAATTTTAATTCTTGTTCCTCTCAAGGAAAGACAGTGAGAGGATAATATTTCAATTTACTTAAAGTTTCTGAAGGTATACGTATTGGGTCGGGCTGAGATGGAGTTAATTTCCCCACAGCAGCTCTTGTAGTGTTGTATTTTTGTAGCTGTAGCTCAAAGGGTGTTGATAGCACTCCAGCATTTTGGCTACTGCTGAGCAGTGCTCACATAGCACCAAAGACTCTGGTTTTCCAACATTCCCCCAACAGCAGGCTGGGGATGGGCAACATTTTGGGAGGGGATACAGCTGGGCCAGCTGACCCAAACTGACCAAAAGGGTATTCCGCACCATATGACATCAGCACAGATATAAAACCGAGAAGAAAGAGGGAATTTGGGGGGGCATTTGTGGATTGCGTCTGTCCTCCAGAGCAATTGCTACGCGTACGGCAGCCTTGCTTCCTGGGAAAGTAGCCAGTCATCGCTCGCTGGTGGGAAGTAGAGAATAATCTTTGTCTGCCTTTGCTTCCATGTGTGGTCTTTACTTTTCTGTTCTTATCCTAAGCTACGGGCCTCTCACCATATTTTCTCTCTCCTCTGTCCATCTAAGAAGGGAGAGTGATAGAGCAGCTTTGGTGGGCTCCTGGCCTCAGGGCCAAACCATCACAGTGTATCTAAACCAAAAAGGAAGAACCAAGCAAGATTTTTATTCACTCTGATTAACAGTCAACTGTCTTGAGGACAACAGAATCCCTACCAGCTGCAGCCTTAAGACCAAATTGCTTACATGTCCCATTTACTTACAGCTTTTGTGCTTCACAACAGGCGTTCTTCCTTACAAGTCAGGGTGACTTGTATTAGAGACTTCAAACTTATACATCTCTGAAACTTTATACATGTGACCAGGACTTCTTTCTGCTGTCCCATTTAGAAATAAACTTAGATTTTCAAACTGATTTTTGAATGTCAAGGAAAGTAAATTAGAAAAAAGCCTGCCTCATTCCCTCTATTCTGTACTTATACCAGCCAAGAGTAACTTTTCATTACATGAAAGCTCTGAAAAGCTTACGGGGCCTGTTTGAAATCACATGGTTTTTAAATCATCATTCATTTTTAAGACTTACCTTGCTGAAAGAATGAAGGATCTCTCTACGCTTTCAATGTTCAGTTCATTCTGATATGCTTCCTGGGTTGGCTTTTTAACCTTCAGTCAGGAGAGAAAACTTGACATTCAAACTAAAATGGTACTTTTATAGTTGCTTTAGTTGTACTGACTGTAAAATCTCTTACATTTTTATTGCAGAACAGGTATATTGGAGAGAAGAATCTCAGAAGCAGATCATCTGTCAGCCCAGAGGGCCCAGCTACACTAAGATTGCCCACAGCACACCATTTTGTTTCACTGGGGCCCCACATAAAAGCCCTGGAGACATGCAGGAGAATGAAGCTCAAGAGCTCGCAAACACCTCCAGCTATGCTTCAGCCTGCCCAGGCCTGCTGCCCTCTGAGCACCTCCTGCAACTGGGCCAAAATTGCACTGCTCCTGTGCCGGACAAGATGTAGTCCACCACTGTACCCCTAGACAACCCTGCTGATCCTTCCGAGCTACCAACTTTCAAACACAAAGAGGTTTAAAAGAGAAGAGTGGTTCTGAGCCACCAGCAGATAACTGCTGGCAGAAGAGATTTTGCAGCTCTGCCTGCAAAAGCTCAGATCTGGGCGCCAGATCTGCCCTGCAGCTGGACTCGGTGCTTTTCTCCGACAGGATCAGAGTCAAATTACTTGATTCCTGAGGTGACGGTTTGTTGTTCCCACTAACTCTCATGTCAGAGACCACGTCAGTGTATGTTGTGTGTGTCCCTTATCACTACCCTAGAGGGGCTCAGGGCTTAACTCTGATGCTTTTTCACAAAGGCTCAGAAAGAAAAGCTGTATCTGCCCTCAGAGTTAGTAGATGTCTATAAGCCATGGATGATCCATCAGAAGCTCAACGGGCAGAGATGCCCAGTCTCTGAGCATGGGCAATAGAAAGCCATTAAAAGGCAGAAGTGACGTGGTCTAAAGAAAATACAATACAAAAATTAAGTAGGCATGCTATTTCAGAGTAGGACAATACTAGATAAAATGCAGGCAAGATGGTCCTGCAGCGACAGACTTTAGAGAAAATTAGATAGCAATCCCACAGGTCATACTATGCAAGGAATAGCCTGTATACAAGGAATAAGACTGCATCATTGCCGTGGAAAATAAGCATCTTTACAATCTCCTTCCATAGCTGTGTTCTGAAAATTTGAAGGCCTGACTTTAAATAGATTTGGAGAAAGACTCATTTTAACAAGTGGCTCACCTTCATTCCAGCCAACGACAGCATATTGTTGAGTTTATACATCCCTGACTGAACTGGAGTAGTATACAACAGGGCATCGTTGAACTGTAATACAGAAGTAATGCTTTTTAATGACTCAAGACTGTTTACAGACAGATAATTTTAGATGCATTTTACGGGAAGCACAGACCTCATACGGCACTGAGATCAACTGTCCAGAAAGGCTTCTTCTTACTTCCTATTATTCCACTTAGAACCAAAAAAACATTTTCATGTATGAACTTAGATAACAATAGATGTCTATTTATATCCTTCTTGTGTAAATATACATTTGGCACACGAGTAAACAGTGCACAGATGTCAAAGCACAGCCTGTCAAAAAGGACAAAAGTGTTTCTTGTGTACACAGCTATGTTGGGTAACGAACTAAAAAGATATTACAATCAACCACTCAAAGCAAAACATTCCAGAAACTCTGAGACAGCAGAATTAAGATCAGCAATTTATGATTATGCAGACAAACTTATCCATATGTACCATATGAATTTTACCAGTTTAAACGTGCATCCACTGTTTATTTCCTGTTCTGTCAGACTTGGCTTTATTCAGTGTGCTTACTGAACAGCTATTAAGATTCTTTTTATTTTCTGTGTTGTTCAACACATGGATCCAAACTTTATTTACTGCATGTAAACACAGACTAGGAAACTGAACTGTCTCATAAGATTTTGCTCTGAGGTTCTTTGCAAAAGAGGCAAATGTTTCACAAGCCTTACTAAATCTTCACAATATGATCAATGGAAAAATCACTGGTTAAGTGTCTATAGGTATAAACACTAGCCCGCATCTTTTATATCTTAGGAAAAAAAAAACAAAACAAAGCCCAGCGAAGCAATTCCCGCCCCCAAAAAGCAAAAAACCCCAACAATACAAAACAAAGAAATTCCAAGCTAGAGACACTCATAGTAGCAACGTGATTTGGGAAGTCCAGCTTGAGCTAGCACGAGATTTTGGAGAGTATTACATTAACTGATAAAATTTGCATCTATCTCTGTGCTCTATACGCTACAAAGTCATAGCCAGAGCACAAGACAGGCACTTGTAAGCTTTGGATATATACTCCATGACTGCCAAGGGAAATATTTATTCCTACTACAGAAACTACAAGACAGATTTCAGCCAGGACTATGGACCAATAATGCCACAAATTACATGTGGCAACAAGTTGCTTTGCTATCTAAAGAGCAGAGATAAACAAGTGGAAACAGAAACCTCAGAGATGCACAGAAGTTTCAGAACAAAACAGCAGCAGAGACAGGAAGAGAACCCAGCACTTTGCTTCCAGCCCACTGCTCTGCTCAGGATGCAAGCAGGCTCGTGCACGGGAAGGAGGGAGGAAGAGGAGGAGAAGGGAGGGAAGGGTGCGATAGCAGCTGCAGAGTTGCAGGTTTTAAGATCTGTTACAGCTAAGTGGGACGAAGTAACTGGTATAGTTTTTTCATTACCACAGAAAACACTGTCTCATAAAAGCGTTCAAATTTTAAACATGCATTGTTCAAAACAGTACATTTTAGAGAGAAAGGGTTTTCTATTAAAATCAGTGCACATGCAACAGATGATCTCTCTGAATTAGAACTGAGGAAGTAGAACAGCAACAACTGGTAATTTCTTCCACTACCTAAAGTTATAAGTTACTTATGTTTGTAGCGCAATGTTTCAATCACTTAAAATTACACTAGTGTTAGGCACGCAGCAACATACACAGCCTCTTACCAGAAAAAACATTCTTGGCTGCATGACCTTTCGAGACAGCTTCATCAGTGTTCCCTCCTTCAGAAAGACCTAACAATTAAAACAAGCAATTCAAAATCTAGCTTTATAGGGCACAAGCCATTCAGATAACCTGAATGTTTCATCATCATTATTACTATTATTACTACTACTACTACTGACACACTTGAAGTGCTGCAGAAGTTTTGGGATTCAGGGTTCCCTTTCAGAGAAAGGCTGTTCATTCTTCACTCTCTTGAAGTGAGCGTAAACTGCTGCATTACAGTTTTCCACACTGCGCTTGAAACCGTGACAAATACAAGGTTAAGTTTGAGGAAAAAAAAAAGCTGTCTGCAAGATTTGGCAAGGAATCATTATAAAATCGAGAGTTTTCATCAGATAAATGTCTTAAAAAAAAACCCCTCATATGGAGAGTCAGTACTCATTTGACTGTCAGAACTAAGTAATTAAGCAATGGACCATTTTTCTTCTTGGATTATGCCAGCTTCAGTACTTTGCTTTCATATCATCTGTGCTGCACCTTTACTGCAATCTGCTAAATGCCATCTGGAGGACCTACCCTTCCTGGCTGTACAATCTCATGGTGTCCGTTTAAACTGTACTGAATCTGCATGAGTTTCTGAAAGTTATCCTACAGGGAGAAAAAGCAAAAGGTAAGTAATTGCCCTTGCATCCATGACTTTTAAAAAAAAATAATTTAAAAAAAAACAAGAAAAAACTTTAATCGACAACCTTCATATAGGAAAATACTTACTCCCTGCTTCATGATGTCATTGGCATGGTTTGCAACTTCTATGACAACAGCCAAAGCATCTGAAGGACAAAGAAATGATGCTTTGGTCATACAGGCCTGTCAGCATCGGTATTATGTAAAGCACAGGTACAGCACTGCCCTTCCACATCATATCAAGATCCAAGGACCTGATTGTACAGTTTCTGGAGCGTTTCTGGAGCATTTCCCATAGATCCCAGAGTCTTTCGATCATGGCTTAATAAGTGTGACTTAGCAAGTCATTGCTTCAAACAACAGTGTCAATTTTTATTTGTAACTAATCAAAGCAGTTCACAACTGAAATTAAATACTAGTTTCTCACACAAAGAATTACTTAGTTTAATTTCAATGTCAGCAGAAAAGTTAACAACGTTTTAAAGAGACTATGCAGTATTAAGTTTTTTTCATTTTACACAACTGCATCCAGTGCCAGTCATGGAAAAATACCTAGAAAAATTTCTTTCTTTTGTCTTTACTACTGCTGCACCTCAAGATAACAGTATAAAGTTCAAATTTAAAACTTTTAATATTTTCTCTGAAAGAGAAGAGTTATCAAAGACTAGAGATTTTATTAAGTAATGATATTTAATAACTAGCAACTCAACTGTAATATAAGCTAAAGCGTAACTGCAGAAAGGGATTACACAACAGGATTATGTAAATTACCGAACAGTAAATGTATGGGAGACAGAACTCATCCAAGCACTTTATCCAAAAATTTGTAATTTATTGAAGTAGGGAAAAAAAGAAGACTAATTGAATTGAAAGCTAGAACAACTCCTCTGATAAAACGTAGTCTCTAAAGCACTTAGAACCTTCTGAGTAATTGAAATGTGGTCAGGCATTTCAAATAAAGGAACTACATTGCAAAGCCCTCTTGTTTTTTTTCACATCATCATCAGAGTATCAGTACTGTCGAGTGTACGTACTTTGCTTATTGTTCAGTTCATACTCAAAAAGAAAGCATGTCAAAAGATACAGCTTTCTGAACTGAAGGTTCAGAAGGTCACAAAGCCATAAAGGAAACTAATCTGAGGTGCCAACAGAAAAGCTCCTCCTAGTTAATATAAGATTTTTTTTCAAGATTTTAATGAACCAAGGCAACGTGAGCACAGGAGTCAAAGTGTTAAAAAGCATAGCACATACCAAACATTTGATCAAAATTTAAGTTAAGATATAGATGTCAAGATGTCAACTAAGCCTGCTGAAAAATAGCTGGTGGTCTCCTAGTAGGAAATGCTGGAGCTGCTCCAGCCAAAACACTCTCTGACTCCCATGCACTTGAAAGAAAATGAAAGGATATTTAACCAAATTCATGAAGACAGGAACAAGTACCTGATTTTTTTGTTATACCTTCTGTCATCTATCAGCTATTATACCTACTAAAACCTTAAAAATTTACTCATTGGCTTTAAGAAAGATTGAAGAATGTTACAGAAAATTTGCTGGTTATTGGAGGAAAAGTTCCAGGATCTTAGGGTTACTTATGGAGCCAAGAATAAATGAATCTAAACAACAACAGAAAATAATCTATAGGGTCATAAACAAAGTGGGTTTTGGCAGAGAAGAGCATTCCAATTCTTATACCACTTAGCTGGAGTAATGTATTGAAAAGAAGGTCATCAGGAAGAATTGTGTGCTTGGGTTTTTTTTCAACCAAACTTACTCTTGCCCCCAAGACCCCCTCCACCTCCTCCCACCAGAATGGAATTTAACAACTAAGCAAAGTCAGAAGTAAGTTAAGCTTAGTTATCACAAGAAAGATCTTGGTGAGTAATGATAAGATTTTCTTTGTTTACCCTGTTTCAAAGATAGACTATCAAACATGTCAAATGCATAAAATGAACACTATTACTCTTACGTTAAAGTTTCTGCTTTTATCTTTGATGTATGAAGGGAGAGGAAAATACTGTGGAAGGTTTAACTACAAAAAACACAGAAACTGGACAAATTACAAGAAAATGTAGAGTAAAATATATATTTAAGTTGCTCACTTTTCAAGTGGTCAATTACTTAATGTGCAGCGCACGCATTAGTTTGTTCATAGCCATACGCAGTGCAGGAGAAACTTTTCTATCTCTTAAAGACTCATAATTTCAAACATTTTGGCTTATATTTTCTATATACTCAAACATGTATGTCTAAATGTCCTAAGAAAGGTATTCACTCATACATTTTATGGTACTGTATTAGCAGACAAAGCCGTAAGAAAGCAAACTTGGCTCCATGCATTGAAAGCACTCAGTTATTGCAGTCCAATCAATCACATGTGCACAACCCTCCTGCAAATGTCACTAAAAAGAATGAAACAAGTGACAGGGGCTCATGTAAATGAAAAAGAAGTATGAACTGGCAGCATTTTAGTTCTGCTGAGGTACACACATGAAGGAAGGGAGCAGTCTGAACGTGCACTGCATTGCTACGCTCACGTCAAACCAGCTCAATCCCAGACTACCATGAAGCATGTAGATCTGTCCTCTTCCACCAACAACTATTTTTTCTTGTTTCCTCTCAGCTCCCTTCCCCCTGTGTGCAGGCAAACTCAAGGAAGTCACTTGTGTTTGTGCAACTTGTGACAAGTCAAACTGGACAACTCCTCCGGTTAAACATAATCCAGTGCAGCTCCTTGATCTTGTTCACTCCTGCCACAGGAACGTGTGTCCTGGCACATGAGGAGGAGGCCAGAAAGGCTCACGGCTCGGGGAGAGAAGCTGGCAGACCACGCTGCCTATCATATCATGAAAGGTCTACAGATGCAAGGACTGATTGTCTCTTTCAACAGCAGTGCCCAAAATATCTCCTTAAGCAGCCTGTGGAACTTCACTCTTATCTCTTGGTTTCAACTCATGGGGGAGCTAATACCACTTCTCAACTCTGAAACACACGTTTGCAATCTTTCAGTATCTCTGCTGAGAAACTTAGAACTAAATAGAAAGCTTTTCTATTACTGGGTTAGCATTTTGCATGCCTTTAAAATTTAGAAACATTATCATATATACTCATTTCTTTAATCTAAAGAGACACTTACCTTGAGTATCCCTATAGTCTGCAGATTCTTCTAAAAGATTCTTTAAATAATCTGTATAAAGAAAAAAATAATATAGTTTTGTTGAAGAAATAAACAGCACCAGAAAGTAGCAACAAAATCCTTCTTCCTGGAAAGCAGTGGCCTTCGCTAAAGACAAATTATATGTTGTATATTATTCCAGAGCAAAACAAGCAAGTGAAAAGTAAGTACATACTTGCAATCATTTATATTTAAAGCTGATGCAAAAGAAATTTACGAGTACAGATATTTTCCTGAGCACCTAACTTGCCTATAGGAGCAAAGAAAAAAAGTAGTGCATTACAGAAGATCTGATCATGATTAATATTTTTCAATAATAAAAGTATTATACCTCCTTCAATGCTCACAGTCTTAATTTCAACTAGAAATTTAGTTCCTCGACCACGAGATGGCACCCTCAATCTATTTAAGTCTTGGTAATTTTAAAAACTATTTTACTTAGCTAAAATTAACTCTAAATGCATGACTATATCATAAAACATCCCCCTGCAGTTTCCATTCCCTGGTCAAGTATCTAGTTCACCAAAGAGTACAATATTATGTCAAAGATTGATATATATCCTCAGTAAAAAATAAACCACCCATTTCTACAAGCTACAGCTTTGAACTGCTTAGAATTGAAAGAAATAAAATCAGAAACTGTCAATGAAATATACACAATAGATGGATAATAACAACATATACTGATTAATAACTATCTTTTAAGCAAGGTATTTAGTTTTCAGTAGATCTGCCAGAATCTTATCTGTGTGATCACAAAAATATGTGATCCAGCAAGTGTTCAATTTTAGCTTCGCAGTTGTACGCAGTTTCGTGTAGGAGGGAAGTAATTCAACTCCCATATGCTTGCCCTGCCCAGATTCATCCTTTTACTCAAGAAGCATTGGGAGCCAATTGTTCCTGCCTTTAAAAGATGTCTTGCTTCATACATGCCCCTTAGAGACCACTCAGTGTATTGTAATCTCTTCCTTATGTAAAAAAAAAAACCAAACCAAAAAATAAAAGGAATTATGAAATACGTTGCTGCAGTAAGAATGCTAGGAAGAGTGAGAAATCTTGTCTTAGTTAATGAAAGCTTTGAGAAAAACAAAAGTACGGGAAGAAAAATATTTGGCATTGAGATTTTAATTTTGGCAAAGACCTAAGGGAGAATCCAAGGGGAAGCACGAAGAGCAGGTTGGGGTGAATGAAGAGGAACTGTCTGGGGACTCCTGCAGGGAAGCGGGGAGGGAACGCTGGGAGGTCTGGCAGGCTCAGGCATGGGAACACCCACAGCTCTCTGCTCTCCTTGAAGTTTTGTCTGATCATTATCAGGCGCTGGTCAGTGCCTGATCTTTTGGCACCGAAACCTCTCCAGCTACACTCCAGCAATACTGCATCCTTCACATCCCTCAAGATCTTGTGCTGTAGTAGCTACCAGACATTCTAGTGCAATATTTAGGACACATATTCCATTAAAACCAAAAGTTCACCTTGCTTCACATTGGGTTATGGTGGGAAGAAGCTGCTGCGAGAGGAAATAAAAAAAAAAATCAGCAGGAGGTGTTTTGAAAGTAACTTCGAAGAGTTCACATACACTCACCTCTACAGGCTGGGAACAAGAGGTGAGGCGGGTAAAATTTACTCATCTACAGAGGTCCTGGTAGCACTCTAAGAAATTGTCCACAGCACATGGAGACATCTAATTTAATACCCAAAGTAATTGCACTGGAAACTTAAAACCAGAGACCCAACATGGGAACTAACTCTTTGCTGGCATACTCACACTTTACAACATGTTCCCTAAAATAACACCACTTCCTATGACTCAAAACCATTCTTTGGATAGATATATTTTAGCATTTTAAATGATACCATCAGAAATAGAGAAGATTTTAATGTAACTGTAAAATCCTGGAAGTGATAAATACATAATTTTCAGCTTAATACTCTCTATATATACCTGGTAAGTGGACCTCAGTTCACAGCAAACACTCAGCTCCAGAGAACCATCAGAACAAGTGATTTTAGTATCTTCTGTGAATACACACTGGAAATTCTGTGCTTGCAACAGCTTTCTGGAGGTACTGGCTTAAACTATACAGACAAGTGGATTTCACAGACATGAATAACGTTTCAGTAAAAACTCTGCAAAAATATTCCTAGATAAAATAAATACAGAAGTCAAATACTAAGGTGGAATGGGATCTACTGTCTTTGCCAAAAAAAAGCTTCCCCTCTGAAATGTGCTTTGTTTGTTCAGACTAGGAAGGTCTTAAGCATACCTTGAGAAAGGCAGACTTAGAAATTAAAATTCCTAACTCTGCTGGTACCGCAGCACACAACAAAAATTAACACAAAAGCACATAAGTACTCTTTCTGTGATGAACAAAATTTCCGAATGCCCTGCTTCTACCTGACAGCAGCCAGCAAACTTTGTTCTTGCTGGGGGCATGACTATCACTCCTCCTGCTAAAATTCTCTTCTGCTTCATTAACTGCTTTATGTCTCAAGTTGTCTAATTTAATTAAGTTAAACTCAGAGCAATCATTCCCCAACACGTACTTGGCCTCAAGTCTGACAACTCTATTTCAACCTGCAAAGGAATAGTGTGCTCAAAGGCTTATTTCTCATTGCCCTCAGCCTCCCCATACTACGCTCCTGTTAAGGATAATAAAAGACTCTCTCTTCGCCAACCTTATGCTGATAAAAAGAGGACAGAGGATTACACTATGACAGTGAAATGCCTGTTCATATTGTACTCTCAAGTCATCTCTACTCAAATTAGAGGTTTTTGGAATGAGAGAATCGCCGCTCCTTCATTTCTGCTGGAAATCAGAGGCCTCTAATTAACCTCCCAAAAAACCCATCTCTTGTATTTGCTCTGTAGAGCTCAGGACCAGCATGCGGAGAAGTGGAAGTCCCCTCGCTGGACTGGAGAAGCTGTATAATTAAACAGAAACACAGCTGAGCTGTGCCTCTCCTTTGGCTGATTTACTGAGTCCACCTGCTCCTGCCTTTGTTAGCACAAAAGTACCTCCACTTCAAAGCACAGCAACAACCTTCTGATGTGACCATGGAGCAGCAGGTTACCAGTACAAAGCCGCCCCACTGACACACAACAACTAAATAGGAAGAAATCCCTGCTGACTCAGGCCTTGCAGTTTGGTTTCCTGGATGATTTTCACTCCCCTGCTCTCTTCCTTCCCTTCACCCCCTCTTTCCTCATCCAACAGATCCCCCCATTTTTGGCCAGGCGGCTGCTGTGTCGATGTGCCTTGCCCACTCCTACAGTAGATTCAAATACTTTGCGTAGCCTCCAAACGTTTTGCAGCACGAGTTTATATAGAGACAGCTCACGGAGCTGCTGGAAGGTAGCAGAGCAGATGGGTCATCCTCAGAGATATGGAAGAGTGAGAATCTCAAGGACAGCAGAAATGCGTAATAGATTGAACAGACTGAAAATGAAACAGATCCAAAAAAGCACTCCCCAGCCCCAGCATAATTAAATTCTTAGTCTGACCTCTTTTATTGCTTCCACAGAACGACAGAAAATTACTTTTCTAAATCAACAGCCAGCATTGCAATCTTATTTCATTTGCATTTGCAGGTGTATTTAAAGCTGGGCAGCCAAAGCAAGGTCTGCAGACTCTGGACACCTGCAGCAATCCTCATCACCACAGAATGGGTCTTTTCAGGTCTAAACCAGCTTGTCCCAGACACAAGGTCAGCTAATGATCATGAGGAATTTCCCTTCAATGTCTGAGTTTTGTCTCAGTGCCATTCACCCCTGACATCTCTCACTTCGCTACATATATTGACAATGGCATTTACTCCATGCTGATCCTCTGTTCAGTGTGTTTAATGAAAACCTTTGGATTTATCCAAAGGTCCACTGATTTTAGAGGGTATAACAAGCATATATACCATGGCCTACATCAGTATCCTTTTAAAATAAAGCAAATTCCAAAATGCCATTTTATGGTTTGATTTAATCAATTTAGAGTCACTTTTTTTCAACTTTTTTTCAACACCTGTGAATTTAATAAGATTATTAAAATGAAAACAGTCAACATTAATAACTTGGTAACTGCTGAATAACACTTAGGTCTGCATCTCCCACAGCATCACTTGTCCAAGTACTTGCTGGGGAAATGCCAACGAGCTTCTGCAGAGCCAAAAAAAAGGTCACAGAGCATTTTATTTTGCAGTTACTACATAAACAGAGGCTATTTTTAAATTGCTCATCAAGAGGCAACGGCTTTAAAAAACAATGCCTTAAGTATTTCCAAATCCTTATAGGAGCCATCCCCCTCTAACAACAAACACATCCCAAAATACTTCACAAAGGAGGCCTCTGTCATTGCCCTCCTGTGACAGCAGAGAGAAAAATCAGGGAGAGGACTTGCTCAAGGTCACCCAAGCACGCCAGTGCCCAAGCAGGGTATAGAGCCCAGATTTCCTAGTCCTGAGACAGCTCTTCAGCCTACAATGCCCCTGTAACAAGCTTTAAGCACTTACACTAAAAACATGTGTTTTGTCTTTAAAAGAGAATGGATTTCACAGACAAAACACCTGGGTGGAGAAGAAATGGAAAAGTTACTCACAGAAGTTCACAGTTGCATAGACATCTTTCACTTCTTTCTAAGCTCCGATTTTCCATAATACCTTTTTCCTTCATTAAAAAATAAAAAGCCCTCACCCCCCAAAAAACCCCAAAACACAAACAAAAAACCCCAAACTAACCAAATAAAAAACCCACAAAGCAAAACAGGAGCATTCCAGCCCTCTAAGGAAATTACTGGCTTCTATTACCACAAGAAAAAAAATGAAAAAACACCCCAGGTTTCATGTTTTCCAAGTACTGCTGAATGTACCATTAGAGATCACACCAGTGTTGGGAATATTAGCACCTTGCTTATGTATCTTATTGCAATCACTGTTAACAAAGAAAGCCTCTAAACCCATGCCCTGTTTTTAAATAAAAAAAAAAGCTTCACATATCTGAAGTCAGACAAACATACTTTCCAGATGGATAAAACCACATGAAAACAAGTTTCCTGAGACATGCGAAGACTGGAATCTTAAGGCTGCAAAAGAGCTTGACCATACCTGTCAACAGGAGCCTGTATTGGGGAATCCTCTGAACTGGCTTGAGGAGATAGTGCTTGAGGGCCAGACTAGCACAGCGAGGGCTCATCTGAGAGAAACATCCAAAATAAGTATCAATTCTGTGGCAGTCAAGAGTTCCAGGAAAAGAAAACATACCTACAGTTGCCAATTACACGGAGTAAGCTTTATCTTCAACAGGTGTTAAACGGCAGCTACAGAGCAAGCATTTCCAAGTGGAAGACTGCATGCAAAATTAATCATGTGTTAAAAGACGTTGGTGAGCACTCATACTCTGTGGATTCGGAACAGGTGCTTTTGCTCATGAGGAAGAGAGGTGAAGCTTCCCAGAAATAAAGGAAAAACCGGCGACAAGGGCAACGTGCTCCTTTGTAATCGCTGTCGGTGTCCATTAGGCAGAAAGGCAGAGAAGACAGCAGCGCTCGCTGCAGAAGTTTTAACTAATCCACACCTCTAAAGACAACATGGAATTAAAAATCCATGCTTCAAAAATGTTAATTAACTTGAGTTAGGATTCCAAATAACGTGCATCTGAAACACCGAATCCTTCAAAAGGCCTCTTGTCTGCTTCTTGTCTTTGCTAGTTTTATGTCAAGCTCTTCCTTTGCCCACTCTAAGTATTTCGAACCACTTGTTAAGCAAACAGAGCCAGGATTAATCCAGGGGGAAGCCCGTGTAATAGGAGACAAATTCACAGTTTGCGTGGATCATGTGCTTAGGGAGCTTGCACCTCTTTGATTTGTTTTAAGGGAGTTATGTAAAAATCTGGCAATGCTCTTTAGAGACATGAATCAGCTTTCATCTGATCGCTGTATGTGCTGGGCTTGAAACTTCTAGAAATATGCAGATGAGAAAATCAGCTTTTTTACTTTTCCAACTGAAATGAAACACTATTCCCATGAGTAAGCTACTGCCCTACAATGTGGCAGAGAAATCAACTTGGTTAAAATAGCACAGTTAATCAGTGCATAGCACAATCAAGAGACAAAACTAAAAAAAGCAGATGGAGATTTTGTTGACATGTCTTTGATATAATTTGTAGCAAGTGCTGCATCTTCTGAAGAATCAAGGTCCTTTATCATATCTCACAGTGGTAGCCAAAATCACTAGTTACTTCACAACATTTTAATTTACTTCTTTCCACCCTACTAAGTTTCAAGCAAGGACTGCAGCAAAACAACCACAAACAACCAAAAAATTGAGTAGCCTCTAAAGTCTTATGAAGGATCACAACTGCTGAAAAATGACAAAATAGGATATATCTTACAAAAGGCTACAGTACCTCAAAGTCTTTGACTACTGAAGCAAAACCCGCATTCTTCTTACATTGTTCATCTAAGAGTGCAACATTTTTATCAAATTCTTTGATGTAAGTTGAATACATCTTTAAGTAGGGACCCTTTTTAACAAATATATCAGCAATTCTTTGATGTTCAAGCCTAGAAACAAAAAACAGAGCAATGAGAAAGAGCCAAAAGGAGTGCACATCTTAACCCTACAGCAAAACATCTCTTTTTTTCCACAGTAAGATGTGTCAGTTTATGTTCTGAACAAAAAGCTTACAGTTTAGCAGATAGGCATCTATCTCAGTAGCTACTCTAAAAACTTTTCCAGGCACACTGCTACATATTAATTCAGAGTTCAATGACAACCACTTAATTCACAGTTTTAAACGATCTCGAACCATTCAAAGACTTTAGTACAAGCTGGGTTTCTGAGAAGACAGATCTTCAAACTTCCAGATGCAGTCTCCTTAATAACAATTTCTCTTACGAACCAGCATGGGATTACAGTCTTTACCTATTTCAGTGCCTCTGTCAGTAGGCTTTGTGCAGCTGATTTAAATCCGCCCACTGGTGTAACTGAGAATGGACTTCAATGGGACTGTGGCTGTCAATCAGCGCTGAGTCTGGTTAGTAGATCTCAGCTACCTTTAAAATGCAGACTGGTCTTCAGGGCAGCCACCACCTCCTCTAATGAAATCAGTCCACTTATCATGCCCATGCAGGGACCAGTGCTTTCAATTAAAAATTAAATTTTAAATTAAAAAGTGTTGATTGCTAACAACACGTATTGACACGCCTTCTGGACACATCTAAATTTTCACAGTTGGCAAAAAGTGCATCTGAACAGAGAATTACTTCCCGTGCCTTCAAAGTCAATCCTGTCATTTAAGAAGGCACGTGAAACCCAAACAAGAGTCAAACCGCGGTCACGCGGAGTCGCAGAAGCCCCACAGATACATTTCAACGACATCAAAGCATTGGTATCCCCTTCATTGATAGTCACCAGTGAGATAATCGCTCTTCCAGTTCCCTCAGGAGGTCCCGATTGAGTTCGTACAGCTGAGGTAGGTAGTACAGGATCTGATTCAGGATTCTGTCCTCAATCACCGGCTTTCCAAGCTGCCTAGAGGCATGTGCCACAGCGTCCCGGAAATCCTGCCAGAGTACAAAGAGGACAGAAAACCCCCTTCCCATGAGCGAACAAGCCTTCAAAGCACCAACACAGACAACAGCATTCTCTCTGCAGGCATTCCAGGCACTGCTCCCTATTACCCAAGGCAAGGCGGGTACCATCTGGGTTAGGTTTCTTTGCAGCTTCAACTTACTCCCCTGGGACTGCCTTAATCCCTTTGGTTTGACGCTGGAGCTTTACTTTCTTGCTCCTGTATGCATAATGTAGTTGTTCATTATTTTTATAACGTGCTCTTAAGAAGTATGAGGGAACTAAGGGCGGGGAGGGTGGGGGGGAAAACCTGTATCTGCAAGGGTGTGTGCAACCTTGAGTATCTTCTTGTTAATATTTGGGCCAAAAAGCAAAAATGTTCTATCAGTTAACACAATCACAATATCTTATTTTAAAATCATACTAGTTTTCATAAGTCATCCACAAATGCCCTTTTGAAAGATGTGCCTCTTGGATAAAAATGTAGGGTCACAAAAAATTACTATAGGTAGCAGCTCTTCTATATACCAGAAAATTAACATCTAACAAAAAGATACTGGAATAACATATGGGAACCAGGAGATTTCAAATGTTAACAGTGATCAAAAATAGCATTGGGACCTTCAAAACATTTACAGGGAGGAGGAAAACCCTGCTTACACTTGAAGGATCTTCTTATAGCATTTTTATGCTATAACTAGCTCTCAATAGGACAGAACTGAAGCTTACTCATCCTGATTAAACTATTTAGAACTAAAATCTTGGCTCCACACAAGTCAGTATTGTGAGAATTGTATCCATACTGAACCTCTGTATCCATTACATAAGCTATTTTCCCTAACCATATGCAAACAAAATTTTCAAAATGGTTAGCAGTTTAGCATCTTCACTTGAAAAACAACATTGTCTAAACTGACAAAAAAGAAAATCTAAATTAGATGGCGCATTGTATTACCGTGTCTCGCTTGAATTTGAGCAACAGCGGAAAAAAAGACAATCCATAATAGCTCTTTTTAAATCTGCAGTCTTCTGAAACCTGGTAACTTGTGCACAGTCTACCTGTATCCTGAAGAATGTGACCCACAGCATGTTCCTAAGTACAATGCTGAGTTGTATTTTAAATGTGCATAACTGTCCACACCTGCCTTTGCAAATCTGTAAGGTCCTCGGTTGAGGGCGAAAAAAAATTAAAAAATTAAGTCCTCTCTTTCTCCCTCCCCAGATCTACTACTTGTGCATAACTGTCCACACCTGCCTTTGCAAATCTGTAAGGTCCTCGGTTGAGGGCGAAAAAAAATTAAATCCTCTCTTTCTCCCTCCCCAGGTCTACTACTACAGGTCTTACCAGCCATCTCATCAGTTCAGCATCTGGCACTATTTAGGGTCTCTCAAACTTAAGCCTCAACTTTCCCCTGCCCTCTCTCTTCATTACATCAGCTCTTGGCAGCATAAGCTCCAGACACACTTTCTGGCTTTGTGACCTTCTGGGTCATGAAGGCTGTGACTGGGCAGTTATGACAAGAAACTGAAAGGAGATACAGGGCGATAGCTGTCATGGGGGAAGGCTGAGAACTAAATGCAAGAGAGTTAAAAAACAGATGGCGTTATTCATATGGAAATGTTCTGTTTTACATCCTCTGTGCAGACTAGTGACACGTAGGTTAACTACCAGCTGCATCTTATGGGTTTTCCTGACCCTAGGGCATTGCTTAACACTGAAATGATACATGGAATTACAATGGCAAAAGCTCAAATGAGGCATTCTGGAAAGCTTCATGCAAAATGCATCATCATATTATGATAATATTCCCCTCCCAATCGCATGCACACACAATATACTTTATGTACTTTGCCATAGGATGAAACAAGAATTTTGTCTGAATGTTGTAAGGCAGTATACTTGCACGATGAAAAGAAAAGCAGTTTTGTCTGAAGTGTAATCAGCAACCCAGGCTTTACCCTGACCAAACAATAAAAGGAGAGCAGGGAGCCAGGTTTAAGCACCAGTAGATAAGACAGGAATGTCATTTGTAGTTAAGAGCATTTATTTAACTTCTAGATAGAGCATTCAAAGGGTCTGCAGGATGCTTTCCAAATACAGATTTGGTTTTCCATCTAGCTTGATCCAAAGTCCACCAGCTTCACCAGGCTTTGGATCAAACCATGAAAGACTCTATTACTAAAACAGCCACCCAAAACTTCATTTCATCACCCCTTCTGTCTCCCTCCACAACTGAGTAAATTAAGAAAGCCCTGCAGAGAGTAAACACAGGGAAGAAAGATAATGTGAAGCCTTCAAATGATACAAACCAGCCTGCTAAACAACAAAAGAGCTAAACTTCTAACACTTTCTTTCTTTTTCTCGTTTTTTTAATTATCAGGTCTTCACTACAAAAGCAGCACAATGCATTTGTCACTGTAATCATATTAAGATTTATTTTTAACCTGGCAGTGGGTGTGAAATAACTGTCATGACAAGTTCATCTTGAGATAAGCTTAAGAGCTGGAGGCAGAAAGCACATGCCTGCAGACTTGGGGTAGGCAAAGTCAAAAGTAAAGAGGTTGGAGTTAACAGTGTTTACACTTGGACGTACTGGCCTTCTGAGAAAGTAGTTCTTGTCCACAAGGACAAAACATAGAATAAGTCCAGTTGAATTACCAATTGTAAAACACATTAACTTAAAAAGTAAATCCTGAAATTTCACTCCAAAGAGTGGAAGGTTTTCAGATATGGACTTTTTACACAAGTAGGTGAATAACTTAGAAATTCGAAATTGCAGTAAGAGCCATTTAACACAGTGACAGAACCTAATTCCTTCTAAAACTAAATCTGTTCCCTGCTAAATAGAAACAGAATCACTGTTGCAAATAATATATACATTACTCTAGTATCTATATATACCTGCAAAAAGTGATTCATATTACAAATATATTTAACATACAGTACCATGCAACGCTGCTGAAGAGCACTGCTTTCATCAGTCTGTTCAAAGACCTGAGTTGTCCTTGAAATTATTCTCTTTGAAGCAATGCAACAATCCACTACAGTGAATTTTAAAGAGAGATTTTCTAATTAAAAACAAGTGCTTAAAAACTTTTTAATGCTTTGAAATGAATGTGCTTATTTCACTGAAAAACACCATTTGCAACTGTAGACAGAAGTTTCATATGATGCATGGCAGAAAATAGATTATTCTAGTTGTACAGAATCATCGCAGCTTCTTACCAGATAGTTTTTCTTTCCAGAAGTGAGGAGGCTATTGTACACTTTCTGAAATGTTGATTTACAGTTTTTAATTCTATATTATATTCTGGTCCAATAATCTTCATATACCATTTCTGATTGCTCAGGCAAAGGCAACTGTCTTCACCACCAGAAACAGTCTTAGTTTATTCTAGACTAAGCATCCCACTGGGTACTTATCCATATGAAAATCTAGTTTAGGCAGTTCTAAATGCTTCTAAGTGCAAATTGTTGCTGAATTATTGCCTGATAAAACATACCCAACTTGAAAATGATTAGGGAATTTTATTTATCCTGTTAGTGTACACTCCCCCTAGAGATGTGCAGTTTTTAAACAATATTTGAGGATACCACCATCTCTGCTTGGCTTCCTTCCACCCCTCCTTTAACGCAGCTTCCTTAAACAAGCAAAGGGCCATGATATCTGAAATAATTCTGACCCCGTTGTGAATCATCTGGGATCAGCCCACACACTTCCCCTCTGCAAAAGCCCTGACTCACAGTCCCTCTCCATTCTTTCCACAGGAGGATTCCCAACGAAGCGACCTGCCCGCATCGGTCTAAGGAGCAATGGGACAAGTTTAGGTGTCAACCAAAAACACAGGTACTGACCAGACTAAACCCTTGCTCAGCTGCCTGGGTTAAGTGCACCTTCAGGAACCTAATTGCCAAATGAAAAAAAAATTCAATTGGATGAAATTAAAACTTGCTGTAAATTTAACTGAAAGAAAAAGAAGCACATGATCTAAATGTAGTCACATAATTTTATTCCTAAGGCTTCAACCAATGTTCATCTCAGATCTGCTCTCCTAGGACATGCCACCAGCATAGCAAAAATAAGCCATCATCCCTTCCTCTGAGGCACAACTCTCTCCTAAATACACCTGTAGATAACTCAAATATCAGTTTAATTTAAAGAAAAAAAAAAAAAACAACCCCACACATTTGCACTTGGCCGTTTTTCAAGGAACACACACGCATCTTACAGCAAGGGGGGGTGGAGGAAAGAGGGAAGGGGAGGAAGTTTCACTCTGCAGGGAACAGCCAGGCTGCCATACATGACAAACTGTAAACACGAGTGCTAGGAACACAGCTACGGCAGAGTTCATAAATACATTATTTAAAATCCAAATAAGCAGTCTTAACTAGAGTTAGATTATTAGCCATAAACTGTTAAGGTACAGAAGCGATAGTTCATGAAGACTATGACAAACTGTGGATTGTGACAGTTTTCAAACATAGGAGATTGCCTCTGGAAAGCTGCCAAGCAGTTCCACACCTTTTCTTCTCAGGTAGTGAGTCATTTATGAGTCTTTAAAAGTACAAGATAATTAATTTTTTACAATAACCAATTATTTGACTGTGACATGTTCCCAGAATATTATTTCAAGGAATAGGCTGCATAATAAAACAATGTTTCCCTCAAAACCAAAACTGTTTCACTAGCCTTCTCAATAAGATGACTACAGCTGCAATTCATTGTTAAATGCCTCAATCAGCAATTCTAAAGCACTAATAGACTACAAATTTATCAGTATATTCACTTCAGACTGGTCAAATATTGAAGAAAAAGGAGATAGAAGTTTAGAGAACTTTTCATAGCCAAACAAAAAGTCAGTTGTAAGCCAAGATTGGAGCTTAGGACTTCCTTTGCTGGAAAACCCATAGCTATTTTATTTCTCAATATTCCCATTACATTCTTTTCCCAAATCTACTATGAATTATTTTTCATAATATTTTGCTACAATACATAAATAGTCTAAGTTTTCACAGATATATAAAACTACAGATAGCTCATATACATATATGTATATAATTTTCCAATTGTCTTCTGCAAATGAAAACATATTAAACCAGAATTTCTCTCTCTTGTAAGTGTGTCTGAAAGGATACACAATAAACAAAATGAAATATGTTTGACCTCTTCTCTGCCTTCTCCCTTAAAAGCCTGATCTTGTGGCTGCAGAAAATTTAGAAGTGCCTCCTAACAACCTCCTACTTGTTCTCAGAGTCATAAGGACAGAAGAAGGGTCTATGTCAGAAGCACATATCTAAAGACTGAGGCAAAAGGCCACAGGTCTAAGACTTTCTTTGCTCACACAGCACTGAGTTATATGCTAAGCCTTGCAGTAGAAGGAAGCATGCCCAAAAGCACGTTCCTTTGCTGGACTGAAAGCCTCATTGCCCATAATGTAGCAGTAGAGAGAAAATAAAATCAAAAAGAATGGGAAAACACAGAGAGTGGTGGGGTTTGGCAAAAACACAAAAATGGACAAAAGAAATGACAATAAATTAGCCATGCAGCTTGCCCTTACAGCACCAGGGTGCTGCCGAGGAGGTCCTCTCACTTGTGCAAAGCAAACCATTTCGAAAGAATCCCACAACAAAGAGGAAAATCTTTGCCTTATTCCTGCCTTATGCCTTTTTCCAGGAACACCAGGTGTTTTCTGGGCACAGAGAATCTCAAGACAAGCTTGTTTCTCTTTCACTTATGTTTTACATTCAGTTCACTGTTTGGTTGGTTTTTTTCCTGCAAGTGTCCTTAGGGAAGAAACAGCACTTCTCACATCTTCTCAATCCTTGTTTACCCTCTGGAGACCATGTATGAACTTTCCCACAGAGATGCACATGGATGAACTGGTTTGGTTTAAGCCCCTTTGTTTTCAGGAGTTTCTAACAGCATTTTACTGGAATCTTGTCCTCTAAAAGAACATTACAATAGTTGCAGAAATACAGAGAGTTCATGATTACATCTAATGTTTGATTACTCCCTCAAGCAAGCCCATTCACCAACTATGTTTGAGAGAGCATCACCGTGTAAAACCAGTTAAGTCCCTTATCTCAATGTCCTCAAGGGTTTATAATTTTCTAGAGAATTTTTGTAGTCTGTCTTCAACATAAGTAGTCAGGTGTACTTATGAAGTGTGATAGTGTCCAAATAGGCCAGCACACTGGCATCTTGAGAGAGTTGCTCCACCTAACTTGACTTTGTCAATATAAAAGAAGAAAATGTTAAAAAAAAATTCAATGGTGCTTGTAACTAGTTTGCAACCACGTTCCCATCTTCTCAACTGCTTTAGAATCCAATTCAAATGCTCTAATAAGCAGCAACTACTTCAAAATCTTTTTCTTACATTACCAGTCCTCTTCCTTGGCTGTGCTAAGAGCCATGAGCTGCATTTACTGCCACTGGTAAGACAGACTGAGGATAACACTAATGGAAGTAGTCACTAAATTTTGAGTATTAACTCTTTGGAAAATCACTAATAGATGGTTCAGAAGGTGCCTCTGACCAGCCAAATCTTTACTACAGGTAAAATAGCCCAACCTAGAAGGAATCTAAGTTTTAATTCCAAAAAGTCTATAAGAGCTTGCTTGACTACAGTTAGTAACCCTGACACTGAAGTTGGTACACCAAAGTGGTTCAGTGCACACCAAATCAAAAAATAGCTTTATCCATATTTAAATATTATCCATAAGAAATATATGATTAGATGAATAGATTTAATAATGTCTGTGATGAATATACACAAATCCTCAGGGATACCACTCTGGAAATAAAAGTGTTTCTTCAGTCTTTCTCAGGTATGGCAATTTTTATCTGATGAAGAATGCACAAACACTGAGCCTCAGAACTGGTGTCCACTCTGACAAGGACTCTCACCAAGGTTTCCACTGCAGGCCACGGACAAGCTGAGGACAAAGTATTTCCTTGACTCCTGGCTTAGCATCCTCTCTGTTAGGCCAGGCTGAATACATGTCGATTGCTATTGCTGGCCAACAAAAACATTTATAATGATTGTTATTTGGCAGCTAGAAACTAGCTTACTGTCATGAATAGAGTTGCGAGTTATCCATTAAAACAAAGCAAAACTCACCCTACAGCACTGCACATCCACATCGCACAGACAACCTCAGGTTTACCCTAGAAACTTCCTAAACTCCCTACTATTCTCCCTCTCTCACATTCTTCCTCTGCTTGCCCGTATCCTCATCACCAACAGCCTTTTCTGCCAGTAGTGCACAAGTAACCTGAAGAACTGGTACACTGAAAAGCAAAAGACATTTTTAAGATAGAAATTATATGCCTCAAAATATTATAATTAAAAATCATATAGCTTAAAAACTTGTCTATACTCATTGGGACAACACTCTTCCTTTAACCAGGATTTAAACTCGAGTTCTGTACTAGAAACCATGTAAAATATAAATCATATATTGGCTGCAACTGCCTGCCTCAGCTTTTAAAAACCAAGCTGAAATAGAGTAAGAAAATCAATTACTAAAACGGAAGGCAAAAGAGGAATCAGCAAGCAGTGTGGTAAGTCCTTTTTCCATGAAAGATCTCTGTGTTACAGGACTGCGTATCTCCATCTGTAAGAGTCTTTGTTCCCAGTTTCACAGAACATGCTTCTCAGGAGACCAAGATAGACCAACACATCTGCTTGCAATATAACCACTCCTGCTGCCCAAGGTAAAAAGTCACTATGCTTGCTCTCAGCAGAGTGACAAAATGGTACAAACACCTATCACTTAGAAGTTGACAGAAAAACCGCACAAAACAGAGCTAGAGAAAGCTAAATTCTTCATTACTTTACTATAATCACCGTGAACACGGCATGTTTAACAGATGACTCGTCTGCATATGCATGATTTAAACACTTAACCCTTGCTGTGGACAACACATTGTAGGTACTACAATCACAGCTGTCACCAGAAAGCGAGCACTTGTCAAAGCATTGTAGTACCAAAACATACGGTACCATGGTGACTGATGTACCATTAGAGCTAATTAGTTAGACTGACTAAAGAATGTGTATTTTCATGTACCATTTCTAAAGGTAAATTGGTCCTGCCTCCCCTTGCTACTTTAGAAGTTACTCTAACCAAAGATTTTATTTTCATTGCTATAGTACAAACTAGCTTATAAATATGATGCTGATTAACATAAACGGATATATATTCCATTTTCAAAATTCAAGTAATACTCCCACTCAGCTGCAAGACAGCAGACATGAATAAGGAGATGCAGAAGGAACCAACACAATGTTCATCCATTATATAAAATCTGAAACTTTACTGTTCTGCTTAATTAGATTAATTTTTATATTTTGAATATGTAGACACAGCAGAAAAAAGTCACAATCACTGTAATAAATAGAACTTTAACAGATTAAAAAGTAGAAGAGGAACTTCTTTTCTGGGGTACTTACAATGTGTAAGAGCTTTAGCACATCCACAAACCTACCAGAAAAGCAAGAAAAAGCAAATAGTTACATTTTAATTGCCCAGTCAAAATAAATTGAGTAGCTGTTAAGTTTAGCATTGACACTTACACTTTTTCTGAGCTCATGATCTCCTTGGCAATATGGTAAACCTTTGTCTTCTTTCCAGCTGCCTTACCCTGCAAATAAAATTATATGTTATACTATGCGCCTAGTAAAACTGATGTAAAGATAATTTCTGGCCAGTAGTTCTCCAACATAATTAAATGTAATTATTCAGTAGTTATTTCTAATGAAAACGTTTTATATTGCTTTAAAATCTCTTGGCTTTGAAATCTTCTGGTTTTTCAGGATCCGTGAGAAAATCATTTGAGCTTGTAGCTGGAAAAAACAATATTAGCTGAGAGCGGCTTTTATAAGACTATCAGCCTTTTTATTTAATTATTACAGGAAGCACTGAAGCCCATAATGAACAAAGCCCTAGTAAAAAAACAATTATTGTTTAGCAAAAGTAGTAAAGTACAGATAATATTTCTATATTGTTTAATCTTTTTTTCTGATTGACAGAGCAACAGTAATACTTGCAGTAAACTCAGATGGGTTTCAAGAACATCTTAAAAGAAATACACATTTTCTTCACTGAAAAAGATGAAAAGACAAAAAGAAAAAAAAACCACCACCACACTGAAGACAGAAGTCAGCTTCTGCCAGTCCACTAAAGAAGCTGCTGAAATACATAGCTTTTATGCACGCATGTTTAGCTTCTAAAAAAAAAAAAAAAATCAATGCTGCTGTTCAACATCAGATTGAAACCACAGGTATAACAAAGTAAAACGGGGTAGCTGTCAGGATGCAAATGTGTTTTCTACCCATTGTGGCTCCCACGTACAATTTCCCTCAGATAAAACACCTTTCCCTCTAACGGCTCTCACGGTTTGCCATATGCTTCTCTCATACGCCGTATGCCAGCTGTGACCACATCTATTAGATATTCAGGCTTTCATTTCAATGGGCAGCAAAGAACGAGCGTGGATGAGGAGTGCTAAAACATCACAGGATATACAACGCAAGGGATGGAAGTCCTAGGGAGACTGTATAGAGTATGGCAGAATAATACAGACATTGAACAGTTTCTCTGGAAAAGCAGGTATCGGCAGCATTGCATACATGAACCTTTGTTTCACAAGTGCTAATGTTGCAAGATTTTTCTGGAGTTTTAGGCCTCCAAACCTATAAACAAGTCTCAAGTGCTAGAAATCAGGCTACAGAACTGATAATATTCATAGGTTGGTTTTAATGATATTGTTATATTCAAAATAAAAATAAAACTGATTTTTTTCATTTTAATTTAATTTACACAGTGCTTATTATTAAATTAAAATCAATGTCTGAATTTAATCATTCAGTATTGGATCACATATATGCTAAATACATTATCTATTTTATATACTACATAGACATCTTCACACAGAGCTGAGATTTTATTTTGAAAGTTAAATTTATTTCCAAAAAAACCACTTAGATCTGCCCAGTGAGGGTCAACTGGATTCAGGTGAGATTATAACACCTATCCTCAGACCTCCATCCCTTTCTAGGAAGGACAGCTGACACACTCCCTACAAGACTGAATTCACAAGTAACTCCATTATGTGGAGCAAGGTATCTGTGGATGTGACAGGTGCAAATGAGATGAAAATTAGTATTTTGAGAAGGAGATGCTACTGGTAGACAACTACAGAATGAAATACCACAGTCTGTTTTCAAGCCCATTTGAAAGACTTTTCACATACCAGCTGGCACGGAAAAGACCACTTTGCATTTGCTCAGCCAAAGATACTTGGGGAGAACCGAAGGGATACAAATTGCGCTTTCAGGCAGAGCTTTCACTGGGAAGGAACCTTGTAACTCCTCTGACAGATAAAAAGCATCAAAACAGCCAGATGCCTGTGGCAAGGAAAAATAAAACGAAGGCCCAGCTGATGACGGATGCAGAGACTGCTTCATTCTCCTCTGCAGCTGCTCTCCCTGTTGGGAAGCTGGTTGCTAATCCCCAGCTGCCGGCCACACGTGCCGCGGGCGGCTGAAGCGAGCCCACGCTTCACAGCGAGCCCTGAATTACTCCAAGAAATCTGCCCGAGAACCCTCGTAATGGGGATGCTTTCCGGCAAAACTCCTTTGCGAAAGGTCGAGAGCATTTCTAGAGGCACACAGGGTAAGTTAGCTTTTAGACAGGTACAGTCTCGCTTAGTTTCAGGGGAACAAGCTTTTCCCTTGACTTTTTTTCCCCTCCCCCAATTTACTCCTCTCAGAAGATTTGGTTAAATAACACATTAGGGGGCCGGTTAGCTCAGTCGTTTGAGCAGCAGTGCTGACAACAAGGACCAACACCGAGGTCACGGGTTTGATTCCCGCTCGGTCCCCATGTGTTGCCTGGTCTAGTCGAGAGGTGGCGTCCCTGCCCCAAACAGGTTGGATTAGATGATCTCTAAGGTCCCTTCCAGCCTAGGCCATTCTATGATTCTTGATTCTATGACATTACTAAGTCTTCTCTTCCAGCATTACACTCATTGGTTTTTGGTAGGGTGTTTTGTTTTGGTTTGGTTGGGGTTCTTCTGTTTTGTGTTTGGTTTTCTTTTTAAATTATTACTCATTTTTAAGGAAAGGAAGCAATTATAACTACTACCAAATGAAAGAAAGCTGCCAGTACAGATGGTGAGGAGAGGCACTGGTTTATGAGTAGGCTGATGTCAGGGCATCCAGCACTGAGAAGAAAGCAAGCAGGTATCCCCAAGGAGAGAAATAGGACCCCCCCCGAACTTCATCTTATTCTAAGTAGTTAGTGCTGTCTCCCTGCTCCTCATTTGAAGGAGATATGAGAATAAAATAGGGGAAATGATTCCAAGCTGGCACTCGCAGAAGTGAGCTGAAGGTCAGACCTCAACCCTAACAGCCAAGTGTGCCTTATGTTCCACCAAGAGCCATAGAGACAGCTCTAAAATTCTGCCAGGAGAGGTCCCTCCCATGCGCACATTAACAGTCTCTCCTCAGCGGCCAAGGTGTGAATTAAGGAACTTAAATGCTTAAGGGCAAGGTGAGCCCTTTGTGTTTCACACCATTGATAAAGGGAAGAATTAAAAACTGGTTCTGTCATCTGCTCCCTGTGCACCAAGCAGTGAGGTGGCGAGTCAGTATGCAGAGCCTGCAAAGGCAAGAAAGTTGTCGGCACAGAAACTGCTACTGGGACACAGCCCTTGCTGCACGGCCAAGACCCCCAAAATAGAACCATCCAGGCAAAACTACAGCTTCCTAGAGATTTTTCACAAGGACCTTCTCAGATCTTGCAACCTTCACCTGGCCCCTTTCCTTAGGCTTCACCACCGCTGACAAATCAAAGGTTGATTTTAAATGTTCAGTGCAAAAGAGATACTGTGCACCCTGGGATCTATGAGGCATAGACAACTTCATTGAAACGTATTTAAAAGTTTCAAAACTGAAGATCTCTAAACATAGATCTGTGCCTGTATCTCTAATAAAGGGGCATGGTAGGCATATCTACAGCTCCATGATTCAGTGAAAGATTAAGAACAAATATGCCAGGCAATACACACTCTGTAGTGGGATATTTCTAAACTTGACCTCCTGGTATCAGGTTAACACACACAGATCAAAATTTTAGGGGCAAAACCAAACTAAATAACAAAAACAATGAAAAGAAATATACGAAATTATGTTGACTCCATGTCTTTTATCCAAAAATATCCCAATAGGTTACAACTTACAAAATAGTGCAAGCGTGAGGAATATCTTCAGAAGATAAAGATAAAAAGATACCTGTTTATCTTCTTGAGAATCAGGCTCTCCTTTGCTGGAATCAGAATTTGTGTCATCATCTTCATCAGAACTGTTCATGATATCTTCTTCATCTGACTGAAGATCTCCCATTACCACGCTGGGATGATCATGGTGTTCTTCTAAGGACCTAAAATTAAAATATGTAGAGTTGATAAACATATCCTACTTTATTTACGTAAAGAGCTCTCTGGTTTACCCCACAATAAATGGTCTGCTCGGTATTAGAAACAGTGAAAACAGTAGTGGGTAGCCTGAAGATAACAACCACAGTGGTAGGCTTTTCCACAGTGGCCTCATAACTCTGCAATACTTTATCTATTCTGGTATTTAGACAATGCTTGTCAACAGTGAGCAAAAGCCACAGCACTTCTGGAGTATTATGTTGTTCTTGTCTATCAGTCTGCCTGATGGCAATGTTTGGTGAATCTATTATTACTATGGGCATGTACAGTACAACATCTGTACTGCATGACAAGATAAAGAAAGATCGTAACCATTTTGCTCTCCTCCATCCCAAAGCATCAGAACTTGTTCTAGATATGGTATTCAGATTGGAGCTTTCTGTTTAAAATTGTTGATGCATGTATATATACAGGGTTGTTGCTCAATGCATACTGCTAAACAGCTGCATCAGGGATGGCAATATTATAACTGTTCTGTCCAATAATTCTCTTTAAAACCAGGAAAGCAGAATCTTTCATGATTAAAGGCAGCCATCTCCCAGAGATAGACACCTTCCAGGTAGCTGTCAAAGGTATAAAATATAACCTGGTTCTGCCACTGTACAATGATTATAGAAGTCTCTTTTCATTAGCTTCAGTCGTATTTGCAATATAGAAACTGCATTAGACAGGTATACAACCTTCTTCCTCTAACTAGCCTTGACAATTTCAGTAGAGATTTAAAAAACGCAATTCTAAAAGAAAATAAAAAAGAGAGGAGGGAAAGGTAAAGAACCAAACAAAGCCCGGAGGAAACAGCGACTGAAGCTTTGATAAAGCTATACAGAAACACAGCAGATCCCAGGGCTCCTGTTTTTAATCCTTAAAAATACCTGACAATCGTCGATTACGCTGTGTTGAAACTCGTAAAAACCTGTGTTCAAGGCCTGCAAAAAGACTCTGGGATGCTACAGGCTTATTGCAATATGAGCCAAAAGTGATTAGCTGCTCTACAAAACAAACAGCAAATCCAGAAACCTTTGTCCCCAAGCTGTTGCAGCCAGCCCAGATCTTACTGTGTTGATTAACCTCTGATTTTGTGCAGTTGGCTTCTGCTGGGGCTACACGCTTCTCTGTAGAGATCCCTTCCAACCCCTAACATTCTGCGATTCTACGATAAAGCTGCTCTCTGCCTCCTTACACAAGGAATGATTACGACTGATCTTTTCCTAACTTTGAATCACAGGAGAGATATGGAGGGCAGTTCTTCAAAGTCACCAACTCCAGTTGTGACAGTTACCAGAAAGAAAATCTGTCAGCGTGGATCCCATGGGAGGTGGCTGCCACTAACCTGAATTGCAGAAGTAAGGAAAACCAGCTGTGCAAGGATGCTCCAGCAGCCACAGCAAGGTGTTGACTAATTCAATGCTCAAGGTAGAGCTAAAAAAAAAAACAACCCACCACAAACCAGCAAAACCCCAAAACAACATAGAAATGCTGATCACAAATCGAAATACATTTAGAGATAAAGACAAGATAAGCTGGCCTGCAGACAGTCCTTGGTCAGCCAGGAAGACATAGAAAAGATTAAAATAGCTTGGTTCTATTACGACAACACAGGAAGGACTCAGGAAACACCCAAGCAGTTACAGTCTCCCAGAACTGAGTGGGGTGGGGGGAGGAAGGAGATTGCAAGCTCATCACCGAGTTCAAACAAGACACTGAGCCAAGACTGCAGCATCCAGGGTGCAGCGAGTTCCCCGTTTATTTCAGTTTGGAAATTCTCAGCTTCACGTGGGAACAGAGTGACCACCAGAAAGACAAGTGCTGCTGTCGACAGCCCCTGAAGTATGGCAAGGACTGTTCCCACAGAGCCTCCTCCAGCTTCAGGAAGGCAAAAAAGCAGGTTTTTACCAGAGCTTTCACTGGAGCCTTCCCTAGAACCACACTAACAGGACGCTAGGACTCCTGCAGTTACTTGTTCACTTGCTAAATTCCAAAAATTCCTTGTCTAGTCTAATTCCCAGCCAAAGGACCTGTTGGCCGAAGAATGTTTATTTTTGCAGATGCCACCTCATATCCTTTTATTTTATAGATGAGAAACATCTTTATTATAACTGTAGCATTACTGAGGTAGATATATCCGCCTCCTTTAGTCAAAACCTGCAACAGGAATAACTATTGCTATCCCTTCCTTTACTATATTACTCACAGTTTTACCATCCACATCCATCACTGATCTCAGGTAATTTTTTTCCACGTTGCAAAAGGCATTACACACTTCATCTCTAACCACACCAGAATTCATTTTTTAGTCTCTTCTTAAGTTTTACTTTTCTTACTGGACAATTTATTGCCCTTTTCCTATCCTTAATATTTGTTTTAATTGCTGCTTTAATTTCCTTTAACTAAGATTCCTTCCCATAAAGAAAACATTGTTTTCACGCTTGTGAAATCACAGTTCTTTTGCCTAAGCATATTCTACAGGATACCCACTCCCAGACTTTGCTATCATTTTCCACTTGAACTTCTCAGGGTAACCATGCCAACACTTCAAGCTTTAGAAAACCTGCCCTTTCAGAAGTCAGAGACAAGCATATTTCTAGGTGAGGCTATATTCTGCTTGCACAAACATAATGCCAGCACCACTAAAGGATGAAGATCAAACTAGTAAAGCATTTTCTAAATGAAAGATTAATCAGCTTCTCTAATAAAAGTTTCAGTAAAAAAACTACTAAACTTTTAAAATAATTAACCAATGATTATTTAGGATGTTTAATAAGTGTCCACAAATGTGAATCACTCAACGAATACGTATTTTTTTCTTCGCATGAATCACAACAACGTTTAAGCAGTGAGCCTCTTTCCTTGCCTTCATGGTACGTATGCACCTACTATTCATGTAAAGAAAACTCTGAGAGCTGACAGAATCATCTGCCAAAGGTTGCCTACAGTAGCTGCCCCACCAGTCAAAGCACCTCAGCGTAATTCCCGTATTTAGGTTGTATTTGCTCAGCTCACTGCCTAACACAGCCCTCATGTTCTTCCACCTGATACTTTTGCTGAAGGTATTTTGGCCGATTTTTTGTTTGTTTTATTTTTTTTCTTCTTTGTTGTTTTAAGGAAACCCATAATGGATGATTAACAATCAAATGTCAGTTCGCTCCCAGCCATCTTCCAAACAAGCTGCCAGTTCAGGGCTAAGGTGCAATCTGTAGCCAGGGGTAGATGAACTCCTGGCGGTATCTGCAGTTGTGTCCTCTTCTTCAGAGAAGACGGTGACAAAGTCACGTTGCTGATCTGCCTTTATCAGTGCTGGAGATCACGTGAATCTCCCTGTACCTTATGCCTTACCCTTTCATCACAAACCTTCGGCTTCTCTGCCGAAACAGAAAGCAGTTTTGCACTTACTGATTACTCTTTCTGCACTTTTACCTCTGAAATCATCTATAACATAATTGTATAATAGTTCTCAAAGTTACCTCTAAACAAAGTGAAATCCCTTGTAGCCTTTAAACGAGTTTGAAAAGACCAGTAAATCTTTAAATAAAGAATCTTTTCTACTACGTGTCAATTCCCCTTTTCCAAAATAGCACAAACACGCAATAATTGTTATTTTTAAGCAGCTCTTCTGATAGGTATTTTAGGGATACTGTGAGCTATCTCTATCTTGTTCCCTCTTCATCTTGATTCTTTGTCCTACCCACAACACCACCAAGAGAAACTTCTGCATTATCAGTCATGTGAAACACCATCACTGCCAACTCACCATGCTGCCCACTGAGTAAGAATATCTTGCTGTATCTTGTGAGCAAGTTATCTAAATATAGATGTGGGGCTTTCTTGACACATAAAATATAGGGATTGTTAATTAGCCTCGGAATGAGTAGCTTATGGGAAGAAGTATATACATTGCGCTGTATTTTCCTAATGCAATAGTAAAATATTAACAAAACAAACCATGTCAGTCCTAGTACGGCACAGAAAAAGTCAAAACTTAAGAACTGCCGTCAAGCTATTATAGCCAAAAAAGAAATCCTAATCAGCATAAAACCCTCTTAGTGTCTTCAAAATATGACCAAGACTGGTTCGGACTAGCTTCTTTGTATTGTTATATAAGCTTCAAATACACCTGAGGCTTCACTTTCAGGCACTGTTAATTTAGACACTGCATGGGACACCACAGCCTGAAGTCACAATTAACATTTCATTCTCAGTTACCAGTTCATTTAGAAGGCAAATATTATTATAAGCTTGACTGAGATGATTCAGAAAGATTCTCCGCCGCGGAATGCCCCAGCATTAAGTATTTTATAGCATATTGGAATTACTTCAAGTGTTAGCATCACCATACCTACTATAAAGAAAGTTTCTACAGCTCCAAAGTGTTTGTTTAAAATAGATTCATCCATGCTGCTGCTTCACACACATTTCCTTATGATCTTCCTTATTTTTAGATGTTTTTTCTACTTTCAGTAAGTAATCAAAAATACAAAGGAATGCTGAATGAACAGAACCTTGCATACAACACTCTGCTAAACTCTTTTCTCATCCTTTCTTTATTTTAAAAGGAGTGTCCATTCTCTTGCTTTTTTCAGGAGTGTCCCAGCACTTTTATCCTTCTGTCTCATCCACCAGTATTGCATTATGGTTTTTTTGTGGGTGTTTTTGTTTGGGGTTTTTTTTTTTATTTTTAAAGAAACCCTTCAGTATAGAGGCAAAATTACACAAACTGGAGCTCCTACTCAACTGAAAAATACACACCAAAACACCAGAGAGCCAATAAGCATACCCTACTACAATATTTCCTCTCAAGTCCTTTTTATATTGTTACAGCATTTGACAATCCTTTCACAGCTTCTTGCATCTCACTTGCCTCCAGAGAGGCAACAATTACGATTGCTCTTCATCCATTTTCCGTTTTTAATATCACCAGTCCCTGCAATCAATTTCAATACCTATGGCA